GCGAGGATAGGGCACCACAGCAGTACTGTACCTGTTCTCTCTCTCGATCCATGGCCTACAGCCCAACTTTGCGGTAGGTTCAAAAACCGTGTCAGATTGTGGTCATCATCTGTCAGGTGGTTGTTCCCGGTGTTATACCTTGGCTTATCCACACATTTCAGTAAGTTTAAGCGAGGCTGCGTTAATGCTACTGCTCTGCAACTACTTTACTACTTTCGTTTTTTATTTTGTTTTTTGTTCTCTCAGTTACCTACTCGCTCTAGCTGTTTGCTTCTGGCCGAAGAACCTACGGTAAATTAATTTCCAGCAGCGTGAACGGCTTGCTTGCGTGAGCCTTTATTATAGTTTTTTTTTTTATGAAGGTATACACACAATCAACAGCAAGACTCTCCCGTCGTTTGTTGAAAATGCAGTATAATACGATGTTGTAGTAATCGGGTGCCTATCATGCAGGTAGAACGAATGCGTACAAGGATGTGCCAAGCAAGTGCTTTCACGCGAACGCCCGCACCAGTTCTCGACACCATCTTGATTCTTCCATCTGTGGCATTCAATTTCACCCGCACTACATGTATAACCCGCCCCATAGAGGGCACCCGACGGCTTTATCCGTATCCGTATCTTCACCGGGGGGGGGGGGGGCTTGCAACGATTTCAACGACAGCCGCCCCCCGTCTCTTTGAGCGCTCCCCTTGTCGGTGGTCCGCCCGTTGTTGTTTTTTATTAACGCCGCGTGTTCACGAAAATGGCGGCGAAGTAGCTGACAAAGGTTGACAGGGTGGACGCAACCACCGGGGTGGCGTCAATTTATTCAAACAGCCTGCTTTTTTTTACGAAAGTGACGACAGCGACAGGAAATGCAGAGAAGAGAGAGGTGCCAGCCAACATACCAACCCGCGAGTTTCGTTATATCGCATGTGACTTCAAAAGAGAAGCAGTCTATCAATGTCCTTCTACGGACGGTGCCGGGGTCGCATCGCTCTGTCTGTTGGTGTATGCGGAACGGCCTCAATTCATGTGCGAAGGAATGCACCGCAGAATATTCCTTCGTGGTCCCGGATCAGAGGCCCCTGATTCAGAGCGGCAACACAGTGGGACGGGCAGAAACTGCAAGCAATGGACAAATACAGCCCTAAATCCCTGGTGGAGGGGGAGACGCTGTTGAGGGAGGGGGGGGGGGGGGGGCCCCGGGCACGTAATTGAGGACCATATGACATCGTTTTCAGTCGATGATGCCATGACAAAGGCAAAAACAAATTGGGGGGGGGGCGAATATGTTCATGAATGTGCCGGGGTAATGTTATGCCACCGCGAAAATTGAGCGATTCCAAGACCAATGACGTAGATAGTGTGTAGACGGCAGTGGCTGCTGCAGTCGAAGACTATCCGATAGACGATATGGAAAGAATCGAGGGCGTGGTGGAGGAGTGATGAGACGAGGATGTGCCCATGTCGATCTTTGAAATTAAGAGAGAGAGAGAGAGAGCGGCATGGCGACTCTTCGAGAGAAATAGGATCTTGGGAAAATAAACGTTTAGGATATGGAACAAGAGAGACGCTGCCAGGCTTGCGAGAAGGGCTGAGAGTGGCTGAGAGGCAAGAGGAAAACAATTTGCTGGGTGGAGGTCGGGAAAAACACTTGATTAAATCGACTAGTATTTGGCTTTGGGGGAGGCATAAGAGTCTACGCATAAACGGGAATAACAAGGAAAAACAAGCACGTTCGAGGTGTCACGTTTGGAACCAACAGCAAACTAGACATGTTTTTGTTCTGTCTTTCCCAACACCGAAACGAATCAGAAAACGTTTGAACAAAACCATCGATCGATGTTTTCCCTTTGTTTGGGATACGTGGATACGAGATCCGATCGGGGACGTATGCTGTTGGGGGTCCAAGTGCAGTCCCTGGAAATAAACCACGCACATGTTTACTTGCGTCTTTGTGTGCTTGAAAGGAGCACGGGTATGTGTTAGGCAAGGTTTATGTCATCAACATCGGTTCTGTGTTGACATACCCCATACTCAACACAACGGTCGCTGACTAACATACCCGTCCTCCAGCACACACGAAACGTGACTCGTGCCGAAGTGAACACATGTGCGTGCTCTATTTCGAGGGGCCCCGCACTTTGGACCCCCTACAGCCTCCCCCATTCACACATATTTCCCAGATCGGATCTCGAATTCAAGTACTGTGGTACCTTTTAAGAGGGGACTCCATTGTGAGAGGATCGAAAATCGGTTTTCACGGATTGGACCCACTACAGTACAGTGGGTACCCTCTTATTCCGGTATAAGAGGGGGCACCGGTACAAGAGGGGGCTCCGATATGAGAGAGGGTTGAGGGCCGTTGACACACCACCCTCTTATATCGAAGCCACGACTATACCCCAAGCAACCCTGAAGACTGCAACATGCAAGCTTCACCGCGTTTACCAGCGTTCTTTCAACACCGTGCACGATTGCTCGTTGCTCGATGGCGCAACAATGTCTTCAAGTATCAACTGCTGACGCTGTCGTGCTAATGTCACGTCCTTTTTCCCCGGCCACCGGTCGGCGATTGTGTCGATCCGGTGTTGCTGTGAGGGCGTCGCGTACAGCCTTGCCGAAAGCGTTGCAGACTCGTGGGGGAACTATCATCAGCAGCAGCAGCAGTAGCGTCGTCGCTGAGGACAATCGCAGATCGGCGAGGCGGCGGTTTTCCGTGGTATGGGGGCGGTACCTAAACGCCCTCAACGACCAACCGTTGCTGACCAAGGCTCTCTCTTCGGGGGTTGTGTCGGGGACGGCTAACATCATCGAGCAGACGCTGAGCGCCGCGAAATTCGTGAGTCGGGCGAGGGGTGTACTCACGTAAACGCATTGCCGTATTTGTTAGACGATAGACCTCACATCCCTACAATGCGGGGACGGAGCTATAAGCCGGGTTTTCGCCGTCCCGGGCTACGTTTAGCAAGGATGGACTGAAGTACTCATGTTTTGCTGTCCTTCGTAGCTGTCAGACCATGACCACGCCTTTCGTGCCTCGGCTGTGGCCTATGTTGGCCAAAATTCAAGCAATCAAGTTTTTGCCGTGTGGATGGGCGCAACACGGGTAGAAGAGCGAACGCAACGTTCTGCATGCGCGGGCACGAGGTGCGGCCAAGACCTTATTTATGTTCCTCCCTCCAGCCAGCGGAACGAAAATCCGATCCAGGTTCCCCGAGAATCGAATGGTGGCTCTCAACCACCGCTCGCTCGCATGCCGTGCCGGGTCCGCGCAGAACTGACAGTCCCGCCTGGCGGAAACCCTTTGCTGTGCGTGTGCTCTCCTCTCTTTTGGGTGCCAGGATTGGGGAGGTTGGGTGGTGTTCTCCCTGACCGGGATCGTCTTCAAGGGGATGTTCCTGCACTACTGGTACAACATCCTAGATAGGTCAGTAAAAATGTAAACACGCATGTTTTTCATTTTTTTTAATGCTCGGGGACGTGTGCTTCAGGGCGCTTGCTTGTTGCACTCGCTGGCCCTCGCTCCCGCTGTTACTGCGTGGCGTCAAGAGTCATGGCCAAGTTGAAGGTTAGAGAGCAGCCAAGATAGTAATCGTACGATCAATTTCGTTTCTTATTGGTTGCTTTGGCCGTTCCTTGCTCTGGTACCCGGGCTTGTGTCTATGACAGTATTGTATTCTTCTGCTGAGGTAGGAACTGCCCTGGGTCGTTTTCTCGCGTTGTTCACCCACCGGCCAGCTAGGTGTACTCAAGGCTATGAGTACCCCCCCCCGGTGTTTGCCATCGGGTTTGGGTTTTCGTCGCTTGGCAACGACGTTGTAAAACAAGCCGCCCCCCCCGGTGTTTGCCATCGGGATTGGGTTTTCTTTGCCTGGCAACGACGTTGTAAAACAAACCAATTCACTTCGTGAACTCGGCAGCCAGATTACCGTTTTTTTTTGGCGGTAACCATAGTGGTGGTCGAGTAGATCGTGTTGTGCGGGTTCGAGCCTCACTCCGCGCAAGGGGGATGATCGCACCACGTTGTGTTAAAATGGTCAAGCATCCTCGAGGCAGTTACACAGCAGTGCTTATAACCGTCTCTGGAAGTGAAAGCACCAGAAAATAAATTAAGTCATACGCAGCTGTCATCCGTACGCAAGGAAGTAAGCACAAGATGCCGAACACCCTTAGCAGGATGCAGCTCACCCTTCATGCGACTCGCCAAATACCTCACGGCGCTTCGCGCTTGGTGATGTGAGAGCCTGGTCCGGTGAGAACCCGGCGTGCTCCGTCCCGGCTTTGTAGGGATGCGAGGTCAATGGTCAAACGACTACGGCATGCACGACTATGAGTACCCCCCCCCCCCCCCCCTCTGCCAGCATTATGTTCAAGCGGCCGTGGATACCCCCACGTTTTCCAGCCCCCTCGTCACGCGCCCCTTTTCAGGTTAGGAAACGCGAAGGGGGTGACGTCCAGAGTTCCGGGGAAATGGGGGCGCGTGTCCTTCCAGGGGATGGTGGACACGATCATCGGGGCGACACTCCTGAACTGCGGCTACTTCGCGGTGCACGAGATATTCTCCGCGATAACAACGGGGAGACTCTTCCCGCTGCCGGAGCTGGGGTTGCGCATCGTGAAAAAGGTCCGTTTCGTCGTCGTTGGGCGTGTTCGAAGGCGAACTCGCCAGTATGCCTTCGCAGTTGCTATTTTCGGTAAAGTTAGAAAATGTTGTATAACGGATGCAATCGAGGAAGGTGGTTAGGGTGGGGGAATAGGACCTGCTGCGTACCCCCTTCCCTGTTCTAATTCCTCATTTGACGCAATTTCTCGCCAAGGCGGTCCCAATTTCTCGCAAAGGCGGTCCAGCCTTCCTTTGTTCTGTGGGATTTTTGTGTGTTTTGTGCTGCTGCGCATGTATAGGTTTCTTGTGTGCAGGAACGGCCATGCTGTCAACGTGGAGCTCAACGCTCTTTGTTCAAAGTCACATCTGGATCCGGTGTGGAAGCAGCCGTGTGCATGCCTCAGCAGCTTTGAGACACTTCCCCCTTTTTTTTGTCAGCGGCGTGAACTTTGTTGATCCAACCCCGGTCATCCACAATGCCACTCACGTTCTGGTCGTGTTGACCGACCGTTTTTTTCTGCTGAACTTTTGCGATGTATTCGTGACGCGTCAGGTACGACATCATTCTGTACTGTTTTTCATGTTGCAGCCCTTTTTTTTGGCACGAAACATGAGCTTGTACATCGTGCAAGCGCGCGGCCGCACGTCTTGTGTGCTGCAACTACCGCAGTCGCGGACTTTGTCGTCGCTTGTATGCGAATCGGGTAGCAGGTGACCCACCCGTAGTACGCTACTTTGTATCGTCGTGGCGTTGCCCTGAGAGTGAAGATCCGCAACGCGATCAGCAGCTAATATGAGCGGTTCTTTTCTCTTTCAAGTACCGCAAGGATGCGAAGGTTCACACTGCGGTGTCAGCGTTTGTTACAGCTTGATTGCTCCACAACCAGGAGGGTCCGAACACCAACCAATACAAGTACCTCTCAGGAAAGATCTCGATGAGACCCGTCCAAAGCGTCTCTTTTCGTCCGTCTGTGGACCGCTCGGTTGGAGCGCATTCAAGCCGTAACAATCGGTAGCACCCCTGCGCAAACCTCCGCATCCGAGTGGTCTCGGGAGCGACGCGTGCCTGGGGGGCACCTGCGATGCTGACACAACCCCCGCCCCCGTCTCCCACGTTTTCCTCGTCCGTTCGCCCCCGTGAAGATTGCAAGCAGGTATTCCGTGATGATGGTCGCCAACTGCAGAGTCTGGCCGCCGGTGGTGTTCTTGAACTTCGCTTTCGTGCCCCCTGACCTTAGAGTCCTGGTCTCCAATTTTGTCGCGGTGTTTTGGGGGTATTTGTTGTCGAAGTGGTGTAGATAGAGGGTGAGCTTGCGGTTGCTGGAGAGACGGAAGGCCTCCAGGCTCGCTACAACGTTAAGGCGAACGTTCTATTACCATGCCGGAAGGACCCTCGAATGCGTTGGGTCCTCTTTCTGCTCCGGTTTTGTCGGGCTCTTTCCTCCTCCTGCGGGGGCCCTGACGTGCCGGTCGCCGGCCCGCCGGCGAGTCGTGGTGGCGCGCAGGTTCTGATTGGTCAAATAATCCTTGCGGCGCTGTTTTTTTCGACCAATCAGAGACGTGCGTGCCACCGTAGGAGGAGCGCATAGTAGCCAAAGGACGACTGGGGCCATCCTGACGCGGCTGCGAGCTGACGGAAAGGAAGATGTGGGGGCGTTGGCAGATACTCACCCGCGTAAAAAAGAAAAAAGAGAGTCTTTATCACTTGCAAGTTGGGGGGTGCCGTCCCTTGTTGTGTTTGTTCGTTTTCCTTCCCGTGGCCCCGACACGTGTCTCGCTGAGAGGAAGGTGGCACGCAGTTTTCTGGTTGGTCAACATTCATTGCGGCGCCATGCTTTTACCAATCGGAAAACTGCGTGCCACCGTCGGAAGAGCGCATACAATTTTAGGAGCCAATGATAGAATGCGGCAATCTGACGTGGTTGCGAGTTGATGTAAAGGACATTGTGGGGGCGTTGGCAGACACTCATCCGCGTAACAAAGAACAAAATGTATCACTTGCAAGTTGGGGGGTGCTGTGCCTTGTTGTGTGTCTTCGTTTTCATTCCCGTGACCAGACACGTGTCGCGCTGTACTTTTCGTGTTGATAAATATTTTGACGGTGCGCCGTGCGCATTTTTGCTTTTTTTTTTTAAATGAAAATGCTCGCCAATTTTTACCAGTTTTGTGTGAACGCAGTTTGTGGTGGATCCCTACGTAGACGTGGGTGTTATGTTGCGGTTGCCCTCGTAGGGCTGAGTGCGCATGGTTCACAAGAGACACAGCAGCGTGCTGAATAATGCCGAGATCCAGGGCCGTTTGATCGGTAAACCTAGTCGGTATTTGCGAAGGCGCGCGCGTGTGTGTGTGTGGTGGGCTGTTGACCTTGATGCGCGACTTCGAGAGAGTGGTTTCTGCTTGTTTTTTTTCGAAACGCTTTGGCAGAAGGCCCATATGGGTCTGACCAGGTGTCTGCAACACCACAAGTTGGGTTTGGTTGTCCTGATGACGTGCGTGCAGAGGCGGGCGTTGAGGCGGAGCGGACCCACCGTGTGTGTGAGATGGGGAGGCTGTCGAGAGGGGGGGTTGGGGGGGGGGCTAGAAAATCAAACTATCACGTAAGAGGACGTCCGCAGTCCACGAACAGCAGTTTCGGGTGGCTGGGTCGAAACACTTCTTTGTTCTTTGGGGAGTCACACATCTGTTCTCCCCGTTCGGCGTGATAGAGCTGGAGAGACAGCGAGAACGACAGAGGGGGAGGGGAGAGGGGCGAGAGGACCGAGATACATCTCTCGCTTGTAAATATATCATGCCTGCTTTGGAACAAGCGTGTTTTCGTCCCGCGCGGGGAGGGTTTGTATGGGGTTCATCCTCCAACCAGGAACTTGGTGGAAGAACAACACAATTGCTATGCAAGCATGTGGGGATTTCTCTGCGTCACGAAGATGTTTTCCGCCTCTGTTTTGTTGGCTATCTTGGCCGTTGGTCGGCGGCCGTCGGTGATGCATGTGTGAAGGCGCCATATCTTGTGCTGGCGTTCTCCCCTCATGGTCGTGTGAAGAACTGGGGGAGATACACTTCCTGCTCGTGTCATTTTGTGTGCATGTTGCTTGGCAAGGTGGGGGTGTTGAAATAAAAGAGGGAGGTAGTAGCGTCCAATGCACAGCCCACACAATGTTCCACATCATGGGGTTTTTGTCCGTGCGCATCATCTGAAGGCTTGCATCTCACCCACTCTTCCTCTTCCTGAGAGGCGTGCATCCGACGTGTGTACTCGAAATCGTTTGAGGAACACTTTCTTGGCTCAGTGTGAGTCTTGAAGTTTGTGTCGGCGGACGCAAACGACCCGTCTCCTTCGCAAGTTCTCGCATTGACAGGCGTTGGAGTCTGAAGGAAAAGGCAAGGCAGTGCTGTGCACTGCTCGTTTCCCCCCTCGAATTCCCTTGACGACGAGTACTTAGGCCATCCGAGTCAATGACACCTCAAGTGCACAAAATGTATGCTGTCGGGATTCTCCTACAACCAGAGTAGTCTACCGAGAAGGTCTCGCCGAAATGAAACTCGTGGAAAACGTTAAGCGTGACGTCGGCCACCAACGTTTTGTGCGGCTCGTTTCCGAGGAACACGAAGGGTACAACAACAAAGAGATATTTCTGCCTCCCCCTCAAACCTCACGCTGCCAAACAACGTGGAGCCCTTACGCACTGGGAAACACGGTGGGATGCACAACCTCCATACGGCGTGCGGTGGTTGCTCTGCTTTACCTTCCCGCCTCTTCTTCGGGGCACCTGATGTAGTGGGTGCGACCCCGAGCACGCCAACGGTACTTTGCCTGAAGTGCAGCACGCCAACGGTACTTCGCCTGAACTGCAGCACTCTCTTCCCTCTGTGTACATATACCGGTGACTTGGACATGGAGGAAATCACCCACGCCTCGGTAGGCCGGGAACAAGGACCCACAGATATTGCCGCAACGGTCGCTGTGAGCGATCTTAATTAGTCTCTCCTCGACTCCTGCCACACCTTCTGCCAGCGAAGCGAATCCCACCACCTTCCTGGGCTCGTACACCGGAGACGGCAAGGATGCAAGGGTGCAAGGGCAACCGCAGGGTGACGAGGGCGATCAATGGGTGGAACCAAGTTGCTGCGTAAAGCAGCTTGGGTTGATGCCCTCGATCCACCCCACCAGAGCATTGTTTATCTGCATCGGAGAGCTTAAAGAACGACCTTCCCGGTCAACCGAAAAGGACAGGGTCGTGTTTGTTTGTCGATCGCACATGCACAAACTTGCAGATGGAACACGAATCGAAAGTAAGTGGGTTCGTTGGGCGTCTCATGCGTTTCGATGACAAGACTAGGTAGTTACGAACGCATTCCCCCGCCATGTCCTCGGTGAGCGTACATTCAATATTCAGTAGGAAGCATCTCAAACCAAACAGTAGTGTTTGTTGTCGGCTGTCCTAACTCTCGCCATAGTTCACTCTGCCTTCTCACCGCTTCCGTGGGGTACCGCGAGTAGTTTGAGGTCGAACCGACTTGAGCATATCAACTTCCGCGGGCTCACGTTCTCGTCACCCGCTTCCGCCGTCGACGTCCGGAAGAACCACGTCGTGTAGGGCAGGCGTCCCGTCGCCTTGTCCTGTTCACTCACAAGCTCCTCGTACAGACTACCAATCCTCCAATGTACCCTCGGTCCCGTGCTGAGGTGCTGCCGCTTGTGAAACTGAAACTGGCGACATTTTGTTACCACATGGACAACATCGTCGGTGATGGACAGCACTGTCCATATGGTACAACGCTGCCGGTCACAGACGCACGATATGATTTATCTCAGCTTGGAACTAAGGGCAAATTCGAGGATTCAGGAGTCTGTGCGAAGAGACCGTGAATGAGCAATACAAGGCGCTGAAACACCTGCCGTACATGCCTGGGATCTAGTGGCGCGCGGAGGCGATACCGTTGGTCGAAAAAGAGGTGAGCAGGCGAGAGTTGGCGTGCTCGAGAGGTCTCCGTCTGCAACAGCTACAGGTGCCCCGAAAAACGGACCGTAGGCAGGGCGGATCGTGCCGAATGCAACAAAACATCCAAAACGACCGTTTCGCATCGAGATCGCGCATCCGACCCTGTTTTAAACCGTGGAAAGGCTTATCACTTCAACAAATTGTCATGTTGTCAGGGAGTACGCGGAAAAGGTAGGAGCGTCGATTACGAGGGTGCGCGGCCCACAAACAACACAAAGCTCTGATTCCGGCGTCCTCATGAATGATGTCAGCACGTCCAAGTACATCGTTCCTTCCTGCGGCCACAATACATTGATCGGATCAAAATTCCCATCGACAACGTGTTTCGGTACCAGGAAGGATGGGTACACGTGGAGATGATGACATCCTACACGAAAGACTGCGGAACCAAAGGTTATCTCCACATGTGTGTTTCTGGACCACTCCCCCTCGTTCGCGAGGCTCTCACCTGTTCAACGTGCGCCCCGGAAACATGCCGACCCTTGTTGATGACCCCTGGCGTAGTGGTCAGCGGTGTACGTGCGTGCGCCCTATATTCGGTTGAAACCGCTTGCCCCAGGATCCTGCCTTCGGGCATCTGGGCGCGTTTGACTAAACGAGATGTCTGATTGCATTTAGTGATGGAGATATTGTTGATGAATGTGTTCATGCATGCAAAGGTGGCGACAAAGGCATAACGCTCGCAGTACGGCGATGGCGTGCGTATGCGGTGTGTCCACACGCCTAGATTTGACGCACCTTGGGATGTTGGAGTGTGGATGCAGTCCGGGAAGATGTGTACACGCACTGTCTCTTCATGGACGGGCAATCACCGAGGGGACTGCCATGGACATGGACAGTAAGTCCGGGTGTTTTGCATGGGGTACTCTGCGGAAGCTGATAGATCCTGTTTTCTATCTGGATGAAGCGTGCGATGGCAGGTGTTCGGTTCAGGAACATGATTTGGGAGAAAGCCTCTGGTTCCGGCGTCTTTCATGGTCGGCTGCCACGATCTCCCGGTACGTTTTTCCCTTCCTACCACCGAAACACGTTGATGGTACCTTGATATCAATGTGCCATCAACGTGTGTCGGTGCCGAGAAGGGGAAATCTACAAGGAAACGGTGACAGCGTACCTGAAGGACGCCGGAAGCAGAGGTTTCCACATTCCATATTTCCGGGGCCGCCCCCCGTCGTAAGAGTCGTCCAGATTGAGAACCTTCTCTCTGTTGCATCTGCAGTGTCCGCCGCGGTTGAAATGCTCGAGTGGTTTCGACCCAGGATAACTATAGTTGCCCCGAAGAAGCGGCGGGAAGGCAGGGAGGATATTTCCGAATGTCAGAACAACAACACTCGCATGGAGATTGTGCACCCGATCCTGTTTTTTGGAGCGCGTACAGGCTCACCACTTCAACGGGGCCAAAGTAGCAAGAATTGGCATGTTGTCAGGGAGCATGTGGAAGAGATGGGAGCCGCGCTCACGAGGGCGGTCGGCCCAGAAACACGCGTGGAGAAAGCCTCAGGTTCCGGCGTCCTCACGTACCCTGTCAACATGTCTCCAGGTACATGATTCCCTCCTGCGGCCAAAACACGTTGATGGGGATTAGAATTCCCATCAACAACGTGTTTCGGTCCCAGGAAAGGACGGGTATACCTGGAAACGCTGATCGCGTACATGAAAGACGCCGGGACCAAAGGTTTTCTCCACGCGTGTTTCTGGGCCACACCCCCTCGTAAGCGCGGTTCGTACCAGTTCCACATTCTTCCCGAAAACATGACGACCCTCGCCGATGACCCCTGGTGAAGTGGTGAGCGGTGTACGTGCGTGTGTGCTATGTTAGGTTGAAACCTCTTGCCCTAGGATCTTGGCCTCGGGCATCTGGACGTGCTGTACCGAATGAGCAGTCTGGGGGCATGGAGTGAGGGAGATGAGTTTGTGAACGTATGTGCATGCAAATATGGCGACAATGCCATAGCTCTCGTAGTGCGACGACGAACTACGTGTGCGATGTGTCCAAACGCCTGGACTTGACACACCTCGGGATGATCGAGTGTGGATTCATTCCAGGAAGATGTATACACGCACTGTCTCTTCACGAACGGGCAAACACCGAGGGGACATCCATGGGCACGAACTGATAATCTATGTGTTATTCTCGGGGGATGCTGCAGAAGAACAGAGATAGAAAAATGTATTCGATCTGGACGAGGCTTACGATGGCGGGCGTTCGGCTCAGGGATGTACGTTGGGAGAAAGCCCCAGGTTCCGGCATCTGTCATGGTCGGCTGCCAGTATCTCCAGGTACATGCTTCCTTTCCTGCCACCGAAACAGGTTGATATGGTACCAACAACAACTTGTTTCGGTGGCAGGAAGAGAAAACATGAACGTGACAACAATGCCAGCGAACCTGACGGACGCCGGAAGCAAAGGATTCTTCAACGCACATTTCTGGGCCACCCCCGCTCGTAAGCGTGGTCCTCGGCACGATGCTCTCATTGCCTTCCCGCTACTTCTTTGGGGGACTGACATTCGCTGCGGATCCGACTCCACCTGAGTAACACGACTTCCGCTTGCTCATCTCTTCCATCAAGGCTTCTGCCTTCGACGACCAGAGGACCCCGGAATTGAGAGTTACCGTCCCACCACCTCGTTCTTCTCACTCACAATCCCTTCGTACAAGCTCCCGAATCCTCGAATGTGCCCTCCGCCCTGCGCGGAGTTGAGGCCTTTCGTGTGCCTGTCACCCACAATACCCCAGGTACACGAAATGCCTCAACTCAACACGGGACAGAGGGCACACTGGAGGAGTCGAGAGTCTGTCCGACCAGATTGTGGGTGACCAAAACGAAGCGATCGGACGGCTACCCATGCCGGATTTCTCTTGCCGCTGAAGGCGGAATCGTTGATCGAAGAGGTGAGCAGGCGAAAGTTGATATGCTCGATGGCCTCAACTCGCAACTGCTACCGGTGGCCCGCAGAGCCGGCGGGAAGGCAGACCGGATTGTACGCACGCAAATATCAACAACATTCGCATCGAGATTGTGCGTGCGGCCTTGTATTGAAGCACGTACAGGCTCAGCACTTCAACAGGGTCAAAGTAGCAAGAATTGGCATTTTGTCAGGGAGCACGTGGAAGAGATAGGAGACGCGCTCACGGGGGCACGCGGCCCAGAAATCCGCGTGGAGAAAGCCTTTGATTCAGGCATCCTTCACGTCGCTGTCGGCATGTCCAGCCACACGTTTCCTTCCTGCGACCTAAACGCATTGATGGGATTGACATCCCCATCAACGTCTTTCGGTGCACGGAAAGAACGGGTGTACCTGGAGATGCTGATCTCGTACGTGAAGGACGCCGGAACCAAAGGTTTTCTCCACGCGTGTTTCTGGGCCGTGCCCCCTCTTAAGCGAGGGTCGTACCTTTTCAACATGCTTCCCAATAATATGGTGACCTTCGCTGATATGGCGCTTTGTCTAGTGGTGAGCGGCGGACGATCATGCCTGCAAGATTACATGATGTGGAAACTGTTTGCCCCAGAAGAACAGCTTGGGTCATCGTGACGCGTTTGACTGAACGAATTGTCTGGTTGCGTGCAGTGATAGATAGTAGTTCGTGAATGTATGTGCATGCAAAGGTGACGACAATGCCATCGCGGCGATGACGTGTGTATTCGGTGTGCCCAAACTCCTAGACTTGACACACCTCGGGATGTTGGAGTGTGGATTCAATCCAGGAAGATATATACAGGCGATGTCTCTTCATGGACGGGAATCACCGACGGGACTGCCATGGCCACGGGCAGAAAGTGTCTAGGGGTGACCTACTCAGGGGACCCTGCAGAAACACGGGGAGCATGTTTGTTTTCCATCTGGATTAGTCTTACGACGGCAGGCGTTCGGCCCAGGAATATACGTGGGGGAGAAAGTCTCTGGTTCCGGCATCTCTCATGGTCGGCTGCCAGTATGTCCAGGTACATGCTTCCTTTCTTGCCACCGAAACAGGTTGATATGGTACCAAAAACGACGTGTTTTGATGGCAGGAAGAGGAAAACTGTACGTGACAACAGTAGTGACAGCGTACTTGAAGGACGCCGGAAGTAAACGACTCCGCACCCCGGATTTCTGGTCTACGCCCCCTCGGCGCGGTCCTCGGCACGATACTCCCTCTACCTTCCCGCTGCTTCTTCGGGGGACTGACAGTAGTTCCTGGTCGATCGCACTTGAGTATATACGACGTTTTCTTGCTCACTTCCATGTCTTGTCGTCGGTGGCAGGCACACGAAAGGCACCCGACTCAGCACGGGACAGAGGGAACACGGAAGGATTCGAGAGTCTGTCCGAGCAGATTTTGGTCTCCAGGTACGTTTTCCCCCTTCCTGCTACCGACACACGTTGATGGTACCTGATGTCAATGTAACGTGTGTCGGCAGCAAGAAAGGGGAGTCTACAAGGAAATATCGACAGCGTAACTGAAGGACGCCGGAACCGGAGGATTCGTGAACGCGTACTTCCGGGTCGCGCCCGCCCGAAAGCGTGGTCCAGATTGAAAATATTTTCTCTCCGTGTTTCTGCTGTGTCCATCTACACTACAGTACACAGTATCGCCTCGGAACCGGTCTATCGGTGACCCCTCGGCCAACAATCGCTACCCCTCGATATCCTTCTTGGACTCGATCCTGTTCTCCAGAACTCCGAGGGTGGTGTAGGCGATTGGACAGAAGCTAAGTTTTGTTCCCGCACAGGAACAAGCCGACGGTCAGTAGTATGTAACGACAGATTTGTGCATTTCAACTTGCACCGCCGTTGTTTGAAAACCGGGGTCGCGAAGAACAGAGATCGCGGAACCCCCTTTCGGACTGTTCCGCACACGTGTGGGACGTTGGAGATGTAGGTGGTTTCGCCCGAGGCTTCTACAGCGGACTTGGGATTACGTGAACACACCGAAAGATAGAGATGCCATAGTCAACACAGGTGGCTAGAAGGCAGTGCCTTTTCCGGTGGAGAAACGGAGGATGGTTTGCGGAGGATGGTTTGGAGGTCATTTATCGTTGATTTCTAGGATTGATTGTTACTGCACGCAGGGGCCTGGGATGATCGAGTACCCAAATGGTATTCGACCTTTCGACCACACCCAACAATGTTCAAATTTCCACGGCAGGGCACAGCTGACTTGCGGTCAGAGAGAGAGAGAGACAGACAGAGAGAGAGACTGAGAGAGAGAGATACAACCAATTGCAGTGTTGAGCGGGAATCGGGTGCGAGGCTTGGGTGTTCTGCCGCTGACTCCTTCTTCCTTCGCTCTCTCTCTCCCTCTCTATCTCCGTATCTCTCTCTCTCTCTCGTTCTCCCTGGTGATCTAGAAACCGATGCGGATGAAGACAATACTGGACTACTTGCATTTACAGTAGTCTACAAGTTCGTCATCGCATATGAGCGATTGAATTCGGCATTAGTGCTCAACGAACTACATATAGACTACTCCGTATGTACAAAGCGATTTTCCAGACAGCAGCCATCTGACGCACCTCGAGATATTGGAGTGTGGGGCTTCATCCGTGCAGGATATGTAAACGCACTCTTTGTTCGCGGACGGGCAATCAGCGTCGCACTCGCGAACGAACACCAGAATAAATGATGACGACGTCGATTCCGTGGATTTCTTCCATCAGTATATAGCGAATCACCTTTCATCGTGCGAAGATCAAACAGCAAGATGACAGCGATGAGAGACATGAAGGTGGACATGTACTTGCATACTTATTTGGAAACATAAAATACAAACACAGAAAGACTACCCGTTCGAGATATGACCACTGTCGAACTGTTGGGAGGTGGTTGCTGTGGGAGGTCACCTCATGTAAAAGCACGGATACCCCCCGGCTACTGTCGGTATATAGTCTAAACCTGAACCCGATCGGGAAACAAAACTCGGTTGGTTGTTCGGCGGAAAACACTGCTTCGATCCTCCTATCTCCACGGCGGCACGTATGTATTTGAATCACATCGCTCAAGAGACTCAGCAACAGGTGCACCCGTTCCCGGGCACAGCTACTCTGCAGTTGACCGTGCTCTTGTTTGTGAAACAGCTAGACTATACTTTGTTTGTTGTCGGAGACGGAGTTGAACGGCGTGTGTCGTAACCGAAACGAGTTCGAAACGCCTCATTATTGGAAAAGGGCGGCGATAATGTGGAGTCATTCTTTGATTGCATGCATGATCCCTTGTTTCGGAACAGAACTTTGGACTGCCACAGGTGGAGGTCGAACCCCCTTGGGAACGCTCCTGCAGGGGGGGGGGGGGGTACTCATAGTCGTGCATGCCGTAGTCGTTAGACCATTGACCTCGCATCCCTACAAAGCCGGGACGGAGCACGCCGGGTTCTCACCGGACCAGGCTCTCACATCAACAAGCGCGAAGCGCCGTGAGGTATTTGGCGAGTCGCATGAAGGGTGAGCTGCATCCTGCTAAGGGTGTTCGGCATCTTGTGCTTACTTCCTTGCGTACGGATGACAGCTGCGTATGACTTATTTATTTCTGGTGCTTTCACTTCCAGAGACAGTTATAAGCACTGTGAAGCTGCCTCGAGGATGCTTGACCATTTTAACACAACGTGGTGCGATCATCCCCCTTGCGCGGAGTGAGGGTTCTCCACCCCGCACAACATGATCTACTCGACCACCATTATGGTTAATTTACCACAAAAAAAAAACAAAGGTAAAAAGAAACCGGTAACCTGGTTGCCGAGTTCACGAAGTGAATTGGCTTGTTTTACAACGTCGTTGCCAGGCGAGGAAAACCCAATCCCGATGGAAAACACCGACGGGGGGGCTTGTTTTACAACGTCGTTGCCAAGCGACGAAAACCCAACCTCGATGGCAAACACCGGGGTGGGCGAGGGGGGGGTCATCGGCAAGGTCGAGCCCCTGAAGAGTCCACTGGGTTGTCCAACCTCTGTCCTGTTACCAACCTCGGCAACCCCTCTGACAGAAAAAAGGTTTGGCAAACTCGTTTCCTGTGATGTGATTGTCAGGCTTAGTCGTCAGGGAGGCATTGCCAGGCTCGTTCGCGAACGTGTGATTAGCAAGGATAGTTCGCGAAAGTGGGATTGCCAAGCTCGTTCGCGAACGTGGGATTGCCAAGGCTCGTTCACGAATGAGGGGTCGGCAAGCTCGTTCGCGAAAGTGGGATTGACAGGCCCGTTCGCGTACGCCGGGTTGGCATGTCATTCGCGAGGGTGGGGTTGGCAGGCTCGTTCGCGAACGTGGGGTTGGCAAGATCGTTTGCGAGCGTTGGGATTGACAGGCCCGTTTTCGAACGTGGGGTGGCTAATGTACTACTGAAATACTTTTGACTGGCAGGGCCGGCGAACGTACGAGATAGGCAGGCTCGTTCGCTCTGCCGAGATCGCGATTGCGGCACGCCCGCCACAGACTTGAAGTATGGAGATGGTGTGGCTTAATATATCCTATACAATAGTGTGGTCATGTTTCAGCGAATACCTACAGGCACGCCGATCACATTTATTTGTAGACTAACGTTTCCAACGTTCGGAAACAGGCCAGGATGCGGGGGTGTTGCGTTGATTTGTTTTTCCTGCATTGCCTCCAGAGTATGTTGCTGCAAACTTCCTGGAATAATAGTCCTTACTAACCCTTCACCTACAGGATGGACAACAATTGGCGCGACGTTACCCTTGGCATGATGCTGCGTTGGTGTGCTCATGTGACCGTGAACACAACCCCGAATAATAGAGGGTCGCCTCCGTCTGGTCATCAAGATTCCTATTTGTTCGCGAAAAGTTGTAGACGTGTTACTTTCGTCTTTCTGCGGAGCCTGGGGCGATCGAGAGCGCCTCGCCTGTATCAGGGCGCAGCCGATTGGCCTGGTCTGCACACTCGCCTCTGCCCAGCTTTAACGTTTCCTTGTTCTTCAAAAAGTCGTCTTTTTGAAGCGGGATGCTGCTTGTGTGACATCAGAGGCCCAGACGGACTACTGTAGACTACAGAGGGAATGTTTTCGCCTGGAAGCAGCCCATACTAGAGCAGTACAAGAGTAATCGCCTCGCACCTGAACCACCAACGATCGCGCTGTGTCTCTCTCCGTCGCAGGCAGCCTCACCGCCCTGCCTGGGATTTGGGTGTCCCGCGGTGCTTCTGAGCACCACTACCGCTGGTAGCTCTTCGTTGTTGAGTGAGCTCAACAACGATCCAGAGAATTGGAGGGGCAGTGCTGCATTGCGCGCCCCATCTTTGGACCAAAATCAGCCGCGCCCCATCTTTGCTGCAGTTCATTCCAAAGAGGAAGATACCGATGTCCCGAGCAGGTTGAGCGGGTAAACTGTGCTGCTGCTGCGGTACTTGCCGCTGTACACTTCCACAAAAAATACGCACAATAGTCTATTTCTATGTGGAACGTTGTAGGCGCAGTCAGCACTTCCCTTCTGCCATGATGCTGCGATCAAAACTTGCCGTTTTTATCTCGACATGTGCTTTGCATAGTGGACGTACGAACCTGTCGGGATTGGTGTGCTTTTCTTTCTGGGTACGGCGGTTTGATACAACCCTCACAATATTTGCTGCGCAGCAGCAAAGTATGCGTTGCACAGCAATGTACAAATTCCCTCTCCAACTGCGTTGTTCGTTGTCTCGATCTAAATAAAGGCACGACAACACGAAAAGCCCATATCTACTGCACTGCCCACTGCACTGCCCAATCACTATTGTACCCCTCGCTGACGAGTGAAACTGGTGGTGGCACCACCAGGCACCAGGCAGATGCAAGGTGCTAGGTGTCGAAGGTGTGGGATTGTTGAACGATCCCCTCCCCCCCTCCCCCCTTGGAAAAAGCCGCTCGAACTCGGCAGCATGCTTTACTCTCCAACGTTGACGACAAACGCGCAGGTCTACAGCCACAAGGAAGATTCCTTCTCGGGTGTCCGCGTGATCTCTCGCGTACTCCACAAAGGGTAAGGTGTGTGGCGCATAGATAGACGTGTCTACGCTCTTGACAGCTGTATGTGTGGGCGTGTGTGGTGTGTGGTGTTGGATGTTGGCCATATTGTGTCGGTTCGGGAAAATCGATTGGACCGCATGACTGGGGAACTGGTTGGACCGCATGACTGCTTCCCTTTGCCCCAGACCGCACAACGCACCCACCCCCAAAGCCTGTATCCGGGCCGTCTATCACGCAGTCTGTCCTTCTGTTTCTCTCTCCTCCCTTCCGACCCGCGGGTGCCGGGTGATGGGGAGGATGTCGGCCCTCAGGATGTGTCTTCTTGTAGCCTTGAGCGCGCTCGCCTTCTCCACGACAACGGGGGATGCCTTGGTCTCCTCCGCAGGAGCAGGGCGTTGGAGCGGTGGGCATTGTCGACACCATCTGCAATCGCGTTCTTCAGGGTGTGTGACCTTAGCCATCTTTGAAATGACTACTTTAGCTCGCAGAAGCGTCCGTGTCGTAGTACGCTGCATTTGATACCCGGGTACAAGTACAGTATCTACAGCTGTACCTTGCGCAGGATGCGGTGCCGTGCACTCGCAACAGCTTAGCCTCACAGCACCTTGTGCTAATAAGCGACCTACGAATCATTAGCCTATTCCGCCTGATTTTCCATTGCATTGTTTACTCTCCCCCCGGGTATGGAACTCCTGTCGTGGTGGCAGCAGGTGGCACAGGGCTGCGGCGCTGGGCAAGGTGGAGACAACCATGACCAATGCAGCAGGTGCGATATTCTCTCTTTGCATTCGTGCCTCTCGCCTCAAATCTAAGGATGTGCTTCAGTCAGTAGCATCACATGCTCTACTGTAGCCGACAAAACACCGAAAATATACCGTTCTTCATCTCTTTGACTACATTATACCGCAGTGGTATGGCGGAACAACAGCAGTGATCAATATTTTCTAGCCCACGTGCCCCCCAGATGGGGAGGCCAAGCCAGGGAGGGGACACACTCGAACCTGACAACATGTTAGTGGGAAAACATCACATAACCTTATGCAAGCACTTGCTGTGTTTGTTCAGATGCATGTCATTGACCGACGCCCACAGTGCGTTCGGAAAGGGAGAGAGAGAGAGAGAGAGAGAGAGAGAGAGAGAGAGCGGGCGCCTCTGTCCCTTTCACTGGGTAAAGCGGCACAAAAAAACATGGTGCCCCCCCACCCATTTCTTGTCCCTCTACAAACCGCTTTTGAGCGGTTAGGCACATGGTTAGTTGCCCAGGGGAGTGGCCTGACATGTACCACTCGTGTATGCATATATGCGTGTGCTCGTTTTGCAACACCAGCAGCCCACACAGTATTTACACACCGCGGCAGTCGCACACACTACAACACGAAGGGCAGGCGAAGAGAGTCGTACACTTGGTATGCCTTGAGTTAGATGCTGTCGACCAGCCACATTTGAATTGTTTTTTTTTTACTCGGTGGCCGACAATTTCTTAACTTGGATTACGACCAGGACCAGATTGGCAACACGGAATGCTGGCTCCAGATGGAGACTTGGCGCTTTATTATTTTTCACACCTGTCTCAAAAGCATGCTCTAGCGATTACACTGTTGGGAATCTTGATCACCATCCTCGAAGTTCGAAAAAATACGCAGCCCGCGACTCTCTCTCTCTCTCTCTCTCTCTCTCTCTCTCTCTCTGTCTCTGTCTCTGTCTCTCGCTCTCTCCATCGCTTGGTTTCGATATCTGTAGAGCGCATTATCATGCCGCTGTTGACCGCATGGCCGTCCCGGTTCTGCTTACGTGAGATTGAATTTCTTGTTGTCCCTTGTCTATTTCTAGCGTGGTCGACGCTCCCGTTGTTCCATCCCTCTCGGTGTGTACCACGCAGAAGCCCTACCCGCCGACGCATCACGGTTCCAAGCTGGCGGCGCTAGCGGCGGCGGCGTTGAGGATGCGGGCAAAATCAAGGGACGGGGGGTTTCAAGGATGTGGGGTCGGTACCTCCACGCCCTCGAAAATAGACCGCTGCTGACCAAGTCTCTGTCATCCGGGGTCATCTCGGGCACGGCCAACCTGATCGAGCAAACCCTCAGCCCGGCCGCTTTCGTGAGTGTTGGGGACGCTGCATTCGTGCTGTTGAATTTCGGGTGCACCAATCAAGAGTGATGCCGATGTTGGGTATCGCTATCTGATTAGCCAGAGAGATGTGCGGAAGGCACGGTCGTTGGGTGACACGTGTCTCCCGTTCCTGTTCTTTTGGGTGTGTTGTTCGTGGCGACCAATGGCAGAGCTTGGTGGATTGGAGCGCGTTCACCCTCGTCGGCGCGGTCTTCATCGGGACGGTCTTGCACCACTGGTACGGCTTCCTCGAGAGGTGAGCCGCGATTTGGTCTTCAAGCATAGGCCCCAAGCACCTGAGCTGCTGTAGTGCGACACGCCACCACGCGAATGTATGAGCATCATCATATATACTTGACTATTTGAACATTGTTGACGAGTTGGTGTGACTATTGTTGTCTTGGTAATCCAACTTATCCTGTTCTCTGAACTTGGGCACTCTTCCATGGCACACACGGGATTTTCTATGGTCGTGGGATACGGTACACGAGGAGGGAATTTTCGAATCGAATATCAACTGTGCAAGAGGCCACACAAAAAGGCCATGCCACTCGCAAGTCGGAGGTATGATGTGTCTCCTATTCCTTTCGTGAGCGGATCTACATTTTAATAGTTGCTTGGCCATGAGGGACCACCTCGAAACGCATCCATGGTTGGCTATATACGGGTACAATACAGGGTTCTGACAGAGGCAATGCAACCAACTAACTCATCTTCAAACACCCGTACACTCAACTATACTCTTGTCCATTTCAGTCACCATGGACTCCTGATGGCATTATGTAGACAACAAGCACAGGACACGGCTGTATCTCGTCCTACGGTACTCCCAAGAGAAAACCTTCGTATTTTTAACCAGAAAGCGCAATGTATCATGGTGAGCTTACCCACACATGTATAAGGCAACGAAGCAAGGAACTGCTGAACCCATTCCCTGCGTTAGCAGTTGAAAGCAAGCACTGCAGGGGGGAGCATGGAGAACAAAAACAAATCCCGTGTTTACTTTCCTCTTGTGAAGCCCTCGCTGGGGAGCCAAACATGTTCCGAAAAGCGTCAGACAGGCGCCCCATAATCGAAAGCGCGCGTGCACTCGTACACACGCACACTCCCGTGCTTTAAGGATTCCGAAATGCTTTGCCGTTTCGTACGTGCCCGACTGCAGAAGACTAGTCGGGCTGTAGCGTAACTCGGGTCAGCCCAGACCCACCTGCAGGAAACGCTAACTCCTAGGGACTCCCCCTTCGCGATTCACTGACGTTAGATTGGTCTGCACGCCTACCGATAGAAACCTCGGACAGTGGGGGGGGAGACATCCCTGTTTTTTTGCGCTGTCTGACTCGCGCCCGTATATGTGGCCCAATGAAATGCATGAGCCGGTGGAGTCGATGACTCGGAACTTGCAACACGGTGCTCCAATTGATTATGGTCAAACAAACCAGTTTTTTTTTCTGTTTTCAAGCACGGATGAAACCTGTGGAATTGTCAGACTGCCCCGCCCCTACGGACGCTCAATGCACGGCATGGTCAGACCTCCTCCGCTCGAGAAGTCCTGCCTCTTGAGTTTTTTGCCCCTCCCGTGTCCCTCGTTGCCCCTCGCAGGATGGGAAACTCTGAGGTGATCACGTCCAGGATAAAGAGCAAGTGGGGGCGGGTTGTGTTGCAGGTGGTGCTTGACCAGACCATCGGTGCCTCTCTCGTGAACAGCGGCTACTTCGCTTGCCACACGGTCTGTTTGGCCGGTCTCACAGGGAGAGCGTTCCCGCTTCCGGAGCTGGGTTCGTCTATTGTAGAGAAGGTGCATTGTTCTTCTATGCATTCATATTTCGTTCTTTTTGGAGCCAAACGGGAGAACAAAACAACGCGGATTTTCAGAACATGTATGTTGCTCCGCCGGTTTAGTCCGCTCTGACGTGTTCCACGTCTTTGGCCGCGTTGGCAAGGCCAACTGCAGAAAACGCTGCTGTGTTTTTGTTCCTTGATACGTTGAAGGCGTGTTCTCGCGCGGACATCGTGCCTCCAACGGCGCTGAGCCCAGACGATCGCCCTCGGCGACTTCTCTGTAAACCTCTGGGGGGTGTTTGGTATAGACGCTCTCGTTTCACATTACCTTGTGAGGAACAATCGAATGCGTTCTTCCTTTACGGTCGACACTACTGAATGTCGCCGACCCCTCCGAGGGCAACCGTTCAAACTCCAAAGACAGCTAACGCGTGTTCGAAGACGACAGTCTTGCTACTTTCCGATTTGACAACTCCTCTCCCGCCGACCATGAGACTTGCCGAACACCTCGCGGCACAGTTCGCACTTGCTGCTGTTGGGGCGAACGCCCAGCTCTATCCAGGCTTGGTGCGGAGACGACGGTCAATGTGTGCCTCACACCGGGATGCTTACGCTTCACCGAGCACCCCCCCCCTGCGTTCGGTTGCGCGGCGATTGATTTCCGTGCGCCTCTGGTCGGCCCACCCAGGTAACCAGCAGATACGTGGTCATGATGATGAACAACTTCAGGCTCTGGCCGTGGGTCAGCTTCGTGAACTTCGCCTTCATCCCGGCAGACCTGCGGGTGCTGGTGTCGAACTTTGTGGCGGTTCTTTGGGGCTACTTGATGAGCAAGTGGTGCCGGTGAGCAACGGCATCGACAATTACTGCTGTGGTACCGTAGCCCTTGGATAACCGCCAGGGGGAATGTGAAGCGCAGCACACTCACACAGACCCGTACAACACCCCCCCCTGGGGGTTTCTCTTGGACGTGTACTCGGTGAAGTTCGAGGTTGACGGGTAGGACGACGCAACGGGGTTCCCATAACGGCGAAATGATTTCTGTTGAAAGCCCGTTGGTGCTTGATGGTTTTTGAATTTGTCCTGCTGTGTTGCGTTCCATTGTTTTTTGGCAAGTGCATTTTGCGCTGGGGGTAGTTTCGTAATTTTGTAATTCTCTTTGGTAGCATGATAGGTTAGGAAAACTGCTGTGTTGCGTTCCATTGGTTTTTGGCAAGTGTAGTTTTTTCGGCAGATTCGTAATTTTGTGATTCTCTTTGATAGCATGATAGGTTAGGAAACCGTCGGGGCAGTCGTCCACATACGAAAGAACGAGCGGATCCTCACGCGTGGTGGTTGGCTTGTAAACACTAGAATACTAGCGCGGTTCATTGTACGCAGGCGGCAGGTATCTCCTTGGAGATGTAGTTTCTTGTTTGCCGTCTGGAGAATGGTTTCTGTTCGATATGTCTCCCCCTCATCGTATTTTTCGGCCGGATAGGTTGCCTATCACAACCAGGATAGGATTATTCGCGAGCGTCGGTGTTTTTGTCGCGAAATTTCGGTTTATTGTGTTTGAGGAATAGGCTGCCAGAAAATGACTTGGCATTGCTTGCGGCGTGCGGCGGTAGACGACACTTCGGTGTGTACTATAAATGCACTCTTGCGCATTGTCAACTACTGAGGGAACACCCCCTGGAATCCTGGAAAACGCTTGCAACGTGCAAGGGATTCTCTCACAGCACTGGGTTATCACGGGTTATCACGTGTTGTGGTGGCGGAACGGCCGCTCACATTGGTGGTGGGGATCACACTATAAACCGTTAAACCGTTGGCGGTGGCGCGAACGATTCTAGAACACCTTTTGGTACACTTCAGCCACAGGGAATCCAGACGTGTCTTTCAAACATATCGGGTGAATTTCGGCTGTCCGATGTTGATGCAAAAACAATAGATCCGGAAGGGAGTCAAATCAGGTCCGGAGTTGTTTCGTTTCAAGAACCACGCCTATCCTCGGATGTGCCTTGTCCTGGTCCAACAACGATTGATTGCGTACCACCACAAAAATGCGGGGTGGCCAAACTGTCGTCCAAGCCAGCTACGTACCGCACGTCCGATTGTGACGCGCAACTGCCACCCTGCCACGCACTCTCGGAAATCAACCGTAGCTCACAAGACGCGACAAACCGAAGTCCTTCGCAAAGCAGCGGTTGGAGCAGTCACAATTTACGACAGAAGCCCCAAGTTCATAGAGCCCCCCAGCTGCAAAAACAAAAGGGACTGCCACAACCGCTTGTAGTCTACCTGTATCTAAAATGTCGCTGAATGCACAGAGCCTCAGGTCGCGGTCACGGAATCCTTCGATACAAGACAAATTAAAGATACTACCCACCACTCAGTGCCTCTTGACGCTACGCGACATCTGTACACTAGGTATCCTTCACCTATCCCACATGTCCTTGCTTGTTGCCCCCAAAGAGCGGGCACAGCACACAGTCCCACTAAAAAACCGAACAAGATTTCCAGCCGTTCGAACGAACTCTTTCGCGAGTTTGCCCTCAAGCGTTTTCTCGTTATTCTTATTCTTCACTAAGAACGCCCACCACGCGGTAGAACTAACTCCCCATGGGGCTTCAGCCCAGACTTCGAGGAACCACACGGTGACCACCACAACATGCCACAACCTCGAGAGATTCAGGGATCCACATGCACCCTGGGCCTACATACGTAGGCATCCGCGTGTACGAGAAACTGAACACGATGGCCTGCACACAGCCCGGCTGGAGCAGCACCGAGCACCAATGGGACAGGGAAAGAACTTGACAGCCGTGTGTGCTTGTTTATCAAGTTCCTTGCACTTCCTAACGGCGAAGAAGCTTTTCCCCAGATGACAACAGCCGAACTTTCAACCGCTCCGCGAGGTCATGACCGGTCTCCTTTGGGTCTTGTCCCGGCTAGCCCTCCCGGCTCCCACCTCTATGCTTGGAGCTAACCGCACGTTGGGAAGGCGTCGCCAAGCACGCAGAGGGAGGGGAGGGGGGGGCGTGAATGAAGGGCACGGTGGGAGGGTGTACGTCCGATGGCACACATTCTAAGGTCCATCCAAGCAAGCTGTCGGTTGGGTGTTCGTTGGGGGAGACGTATGTCTGCATGTACATGTATCGAATCGCTTATGAACGTAACTGGGTAGTAAATCGATACGGCGGTATAGTGTACCATCTTGTACGGAAACGCAGCCCCCAAATACTTGTACCACTGCTCCCAACATCAAAAGGACAGGACACGACACGCCCCAAACGGACGGCTCTCTCAAGAGTCGAAGATGCCACAGGAGAGGTGGACCAGAGCTAACGCGGGGTCCGCATTATAGCCCAATCACTCAGGCAAAAAAACACATAGTTGTATCCGTTTTCTTTTGTCAAGGCGACCTGTGGCTGGTCTTGCAGTTACTGACTCCAATGGTTAAGTGCAGCACACCCAAGGTTGAACTGCCGCCGGGCACCTCCAGACCCCGCGCTGACTAGAACGGCGACGATAGACGAAACGATTCCTGCGATTGCGCAAGAGGCACAACGCCACGAGAGGCCCTCGACACGCCCCAAAATTTCTCTCACCTCCGCCAGCTCGGCCACCAGGGCTGGCTTCCTCGCCAGCTTCTGTCGCTGCTCCTCGGTAGGAACCACCTCCCCCGACGTCACCTTCGCCTCCAACTCCTCAACCTGTCTGATCTTCTTGTTGAGCGCTTTTATCTGTAGCGCGGCACGCAGAGCCATACGGGGGGGTGCGGTACCGCGTGGAGGGCGGGAGGTGGCACACGGCAGGGCGTGTAGCGTGCGGCAACCGGCGCAGGCAAAGGTGGTGGCGCAGGGGGCGGTCTCTTCAGCGCTGAATCCCGCGAGCCGACCAGGGCTCACAGGAAATCGTGCTCGACGGTTTCATGCGGGAGCATCCCGTGCGTGGATGCGATCGTAGATGGGGGTTGTCGTGTTGGGCAAATCCCCGGAGTGTCCCATGCGTGGATGCCGATATGCACGGGGGTGTTGTGTTGGTCAAACCTAAGCGGTGATACTGGCATGTAAGTCAAACGTGGGGCGAGGTGGATGGACACTGCTGTCAAGTGCTTTCGCCCGCGGCAGCATGCATGCTGTGAAGAAAGGCTCGCGACGAAAAAGAAAGCGCCCCGGACGACACGTACTAAAAACTACCAGAATACCTGTAGCTAGTCGACCAAAGCCCCCCCAAAATGTCGCCGACAACCACCGCACACTCAAGGGCCCCGGGTGTGTACTTTGTGACCGCGGTCAATGCTGGGGATGGTAGAAAAAAAAAATGCATCACATGGTACCTTTCTCGCCGAGTCCAACGGCTCCGACGCTGTTTGTTCTCCGGAAGCACCACCGCCTCCCGCAGAAACCTTCAGCCCGCCCAGTGCCTTAGCGGCGGTTTCGACACCATCTTGGTCGTCGTCGTTGTCGTCGTCGTCGCCGACACACGCGGCCCTTTCCGCCGCCTTTTTCGCCTTGCGTGCAGCGGCCCGAGCCTGATTTTTCTTTTGCGCTGCCGTGAGAGGCTTGTTGGGTTCGGAAGCGGACTCTGGAGCCATGCCCGGGGGAAGCCGATTTTTCAGGTACTTCTGGTTCTGGGGGCGAGCGTGCGTGAGAGACGGCGGGGGGGGGGGTGGTCGTTCGCTTGGCGTTTGAACGAGCGTGAGTCTGAGGGCGAGCAAGAAGATATTCTTCAACGCTGCTGGGGACAAGCCGCAACCTTTGCTCCTTGAGACAAGCCAAGGAGTTATTGTCGTGCAACAAGTTGGATGTTAATATCGCATCGTACATGACGTGGCATGATCTGGTGCCACGACTGTATGTACAACGTAGCGATAACTTCGTATCAATGACACGCCGCACGGCAGGCGTGTTTTCTGCGTTCGATACTCTACTGGGCAGAGTACATTTGATGCGGAGTGGCAATATATCGTCATGCACAAGGCTGTGGAAACAAGATTCAAGAGATCATTAGTACGTTGGTTCAACAGGAACACGAACGGGCGGCTGTAAAATTTCAGTAACGTCGGCCAGGCGTGGATTGTTTATTGCCGGCGGGCATCAGCTGTTCAAGCAACACGCTGGCACCCAACAGGTGTCCACTTAACTCACAACCCTCTCCTCCTCAACATCCTACACCGACGACACCAATATGAACAACGATGCAGCGGTACGCTTCCATGATTGTTGCCATGGCACGAGCTTTTTGTGCGCAATGGGGGAGCAAAATACGAAAAATGAAAGTCTGTACCGGTAGACTGGTACATACCCACAGAGGAGATATCGCTGTTGGCTGGAGACTTCAGCAAAAACACAGGATGGCCATCAAGTATTCAGTCCACTATGAATTCATTGTTCATCCTGGGCCCTTTTTCTGTGGATAGAAATGAATACATTGGCTCTGGCATAGCACACATTTGAATCCTGCCGTTTGCGGCCGAATCTGCAAGGTTGCATATATACGCGATATATCATCCCCTGGTGGCATATATACGCGATATATCATCCCCTGGTGGGCCGAGTTTCAAACCCCGATTTCTCCACGACGACGAGGATACCAAAACCTCCAAATTAAACGTTATTGAAAACATCTCCACGAGACGATTCCAAGCCCGCAGTGCCGCCATTTCGGAGGACGCGCAATCGGTGAAGCAGAGGGGGGGGGGGGTGGTATCTAATGCAACCACAGTAGAGTTGGTTGCTGAAAAGAGCCGGTAGTCCGCAGTCAAGGCAAAAAGCCGGCAAGCAGGGGTTGAAGTACCGCGGAGTGTACTTTACACTCTTCTGTGGCCTATCGCTGCGTACGACTCTGTGCTCAGCAACAGCAGGCAGGTACATATCACAGCGGCCGTCGCACCTGTGTCCCTCGCGTCTCGAACTTGGCTACCTCGTCCTGCGGGATGTAGCCCTTCTTTATTCGCCGTTCCTTGCGCCAGGTACCATCTGGACGCTGTGTGGCGGGGAGCACCACATCCCCGTTCTCTTTAGCAACCGCCCCGATAGGCACAGCACTGGCCATCGTGTTTTAGAGGTGGATGGAGGAGACACGCAGCGACAAAGAACAATCAAATTCAATTGGATTGATGTTGCCCCCCAGTCTAGAAAAAACGAAGGCCCCCCATCATTCTCCTTTGTGCGCCCCCTCTCATGTAGTACCCCTCCATGCTCCGTGCTGGCTCGCGCAGCCGGGACGCAAAAGCAGTCAGCAGGTGCGAAATATAGATCATGAGGCCCACCGGAAGAGCGCTCGCCGCCGTGGCCACGGCGGTGGTAGCAGCAAAGGGAGCTCAGGCCTTCGTGGCGCCAAGTGGCGCCTCCTGTCCTTCTTCCTTGCGAGCAGGAGCGACCTCTCGACAGCAACAGCAACAACCGTACACGTGCTCGGCTACGAACAACCGACGGTCTCGACGAGCCCCTCCGCCGCCGTTAGCAGCGGCGGCGGCGGCGGCGGCAGCAGCAAGAGGGGCGGAAGAGGATGACCATTGTCCTCCTGCCGATGCCGCGCGGGAGGGGAAGGGGCGGTGGGCAGGGGCCCGCAGGTCTCTCGCGCGCGGGGCAGCCTCCCTGGCGACTTTCACAGTGGGGGCGACCGCGCTGTCGGGCATGTCTGCCGATGTGCAGCACAGGCTCAACAGCCGCGATGGCGCTGCGGTGGTGGTGTCGATTCCGGCCGCTATGGAGTCAGCGGAAGCCTCTGTGCTCAGGCCGTTCGAGAAGCGCACCGTGGAGGAGAAGCTGGCAAACCTCCCGGCCTTCATGGTGACCAACAAGAAGGGCTCGCCCTACCTTTCGCCGACGGAACCGGGCGAACCGCAGGTATGTTCAAAGCTACGAGGAGGGGCGGAGCGATAGGTGCCGCATCCATCATGTTTGGAGCGGAGGATGAGTTCATGATTTTTATTTTATTTTTCTTAATATGACACCACCAAACCATCTCTATCATAGAAAAGAGTAATTGGCATTGATCTGGCCGGCGTTGTGTGGGCGTCTACTGCTGCTATGCGGCTCACAAATCGTTCGGTTGATCTCATCCCTTGCTACATGTACTCCCACAATAGCACACGTCCAACACACAGAGATGGACGGTGGCAGCACTTGCACTGCCTACTTTTGCTGTGTATCAGCACAGCAGTTGCACTCGACGATGCACGCATCGCGCAGATTTCTCGGTGAAAATCTGACGCGGTGTCAATCATGTCGTGTAAAGAGGTTTACAACGTTGCCGGCGCTGAATGACCGGCAGTGAAACAGAGCTGGATCTATCTGTGCGCCTTCAAAGGGTGCCTGCCCCCACACAGGCATGGCCGTTGCAGCTTTGCACCCCGTTCATGATCCGTTTACCCTCCGTAATATGCTGTTGCGATGTGCTCCAAGAGGTATGTAGCAGCTATGAAACGGCTATTAACAGTAGCATTTGAGCCGCTTCGTGCTTGCAGCGTACCCTCCGATGTTCGGTTTAGTACGAATATATACGGCTGACCTGGCGCTCCGACTCTCGACTCCATCACAAAGAAGCATCCTCTATTTTGCAGTTTGAGAGCTTGGCGTGAACGTTGACAAGCCAATAGCACACTTTTGAAGTAATGTCAGAGACACCCGCGCTACAAAGTATCACCTTTAAGCGTTCGCTCGCTGTTTGGCAAACCGCATAACAAACCAAGATGCCGGACCGGAAACGCACTCCCTTGTTGTCGAATCAAATCCTTCCTGCAAGTGACCACCCTGTGTACTACTACCTGGTTGTGGGAACCATTTACCATGGTGGTATGCATATGCAGCATTGCATTTCCTCAAGGCGCGAGATTCTGCCACCCGACCTCCACCGCAGTATTTGGCGCGTGACCTATTTGCGTTAAAAGCACTTCGACCTCGGTGGATGGTGCTGAGTCTTTTGTTGTTGTTGTCTTCACATTACTACCTTCTACTGTCCGTACTGGTCAACACTTGACGGGGTCGTCCCGTGGGTCACAGGCTAACGTACCCAAGAAAGGTACACGAAATATCGATCCGAAGGGTCCGCAAGCCAATAGAAGTCAACGACAGATAGTCTAGGCCGCTCCTTTTCTGGACAGGGCTAATAAGTCCTGTCCAACACTATTTACTATATCACCGACAACGAAGGGTGCCGGTTTAGGGATTAGCAGCCGAGAACACTGCACAACCAGGGCACAGAAATACCGTCGAAGGTTACCCGGCGCCTGCCTCCCCAACACCTTAATGAAGCTTCCTGTTCATAGCTACTTGCTCAGGACACCCCAAGCAATGATTTGTGGTTGCCGTTACGACAACGAGTACAACGAACTGACACATACCACCAAAGGAACGATTGTGTTATTGTTGGAGCAGCTGGAAGCTTGACGTGGATACTGATAGCTCGGATCTATACGGCATGATTGGAGGAGCGCGATTTCAGTCGATCAAGGACGAAGAAAAATGTTGCCGTCGGCACATGTCGCTTTTGCATCCGTTTGCTTGGAGTCGTTACCATTGACTGCATCTGTCGGTTGCACACATGATTCGGGAAGCATTTTGTGATAATTTTTTCGCCTTTTCCCCGAACACTCCCTCGTGTGTTGCCTCTCTTAGATGGCTGTTTTCTTTACGAACGTCGACGATGCGAAGGAGATGCTTATGGAGATGGTGCAGGAATCGACTTACCAGAACGAAGCACGCATTCTTGTTGTGAGCATGGAGAAGGCCTACGGCATGGTGAAGGCGGGGCCGAAGCTGACCGGGTGAGTTGCCGGCGCGATGCTACTGCTGTTGTTGTTGTTGGCGTTGGGTGTCAGTGCGACCGCTTCTTCTGTTGTATTCCACGCGCTCAAGTCCAGTCTGGTGGTGGTGTTTTTTTTCGCCGCTGGCTCCCACGGGGGGTGCAAGCGTCGATAGGGTTGGAGATGTCTCTTTGGGGACTATCCGTGATCGTTCCGTATGTTGTTGGAACTCTTTTGTGCCGAAGAATGAGCTTTGACTTTGGGTCGGCAGAGAGGTAGGTCCCAAGTCTATAGTACGTTTCGGTAGTTGGCGTTCCCAGCAGACGAAAAAGGTTGGGAGGGCGAGTTAAGTCCCATCTCGGCGCCGTCACTTTGATCCCTAGGAACAACCTAGCCCTCTATCCTCTATCAGGACTTTTTCCCCGTTTTTGATGGCGTGGCTTAGAGACTTGTGTTGGGTACGGGACCCCCTATAGTGCAAATCCCCGCTTCAGAATCACCGACAACGGCCCCCAGTTAGTGCGGCTAGTACGGCCCTCAGTTAGTGCGGCTAGTACGGCCCTCAGTTAGTGCGGCTAGTCTTTTGTGGTAGTGCTGCATGCACCCGAGAGACGAGAGGTAGGAGTTCCACCCAACACTCAAGCTTCGCACACCCAGGGTGCAGTTTAACTTGCGGTATCCCGCGAAAAGGCGGCCTCCCGTTCGACGACTCTCCCACATCGTGCTATCTACCGCTGGAAGGGCCAACTTCTATGAAATCATGCAACAACTGTGTCCATCCGGGGGAGCTCCCTTGTCGTGTGCGGCTCCCGAAAAATTCAATGCACGAGTTAGGGGCGCGTTCCCACTCTCCGTTTCTGTGGCGAGCACAATTCCACGATTTGTGGCCGCACGCACGACTATGAGTACACACACCCCCCTCAATCGTGGCGGGGCTTGTGAACAGTTCGCCACCCCCTAAAGGTTGCGACCCCCGGCCGTACCCTCAGGTACCAGAATGACGAGGGAGTGGACGAGAGGATGGACTTTAAGCTAGAGCCGGACATGCACTCGTTCCAGAAGGCGAGAAGGCTGGGGTTGGACGTCAGCCCCGCCGCCGCGAACATCGACGTCCCGGTGTTCTACGTAGAGGGTTTGGAGGTGAGGGTGGTACGCTTGGGGTTTTATCCTGAAGCTGTCGGGTGGCGTTTCTTCCCTGGAAGGCGTGGGAGCAACAGTTGCCCGGAATCACACTCCTTCGCCGCCGGTGTTTTTGCTGAGTTTGTTGGTTGGGAGTTACGCCCCCCATGTAAGGGGGCCCACCGCAGGGGGGGGGGGTGCGCTCACAGTCGTGCATGGTAGTCGTTAGACCATTGACCTCGCATCCCTTCAAACCGGGGACGGAGCGCGCGGGGTTTTCACCGGACCAGAGTAGTACATCACCAAGCGCGAAGTGCTGTGAGGTGTTCGGCAACTCGCAAGTGGGGAGGGGGGTTGGTGACCCCCCAGTCTTCCCTTCGCGGTGTTGTAGGGGTTGGTTTGAGTGTCTGAGTGCGTCGCGATAATGTTACTGTACCCAGTGGGTTAACTTTCCCGCAGGTGGCCTCGCTTTTTTGCTTCATTTTTCTGACATTTTGGAGACAAGTCTGCGGCTCACCTTGAAGCATGGGCGTGTAGTGACTGCTGTAGCGGTTGGAATCAATCGCCCCACCCTCGAAAACACATCATGGGGCGGGCCTGGCTTGTTGCTGCGGGCTTTTCAGAAGGGAAACAGGCACACGCGATCGCTTGCTTCCCGGCCCCTACGCCTCGTCCACTGGTGTGTGGGTCGTTGCAATTCGCCTGTTTCGTATCCGCACCCACCCCCTCTGCTTCACTCTTCGAGTGTGCATCTGGGCCGATCGACTTCACGTATGATTGGAAGAAACAACGCCCTTTGGCTTCGACCTCGAGAACCTTGTATACCCTCTTAAGAACAGAACGTAAAAAAACTCCAGTGGTTACCTTGCTCCTGTGTGACCTTGGCCGGTGTGTCAAACACGCACAGAACGGCGTGGACTAGCACCCGAACCGAACCACGTGGAAATCATCTCCCGACCGTCCGGTCACCATCTCCTGCTACCGTCTTTGTTCTTGCGCTGACGGGGACAGGTTAAGCGGGATGGAGGGTTGGTGAAGCCGCTTTTCATGGACCCGGCCGACCTGGTTGAGGCTTGGAAGAAGGCGGCCGCTTCGAACCCAGATATGCCCGCAGAGCCGACGGTCAAGGTGCGCCTCACTCCCTCCTATTGCTCCCGTTGCTGTCGATTTTTTCCAACGCCTTGGCCATGCCGGAAGCAACGTTGGCGAGAAAGTTAACTCGGAGGGTGACCCCTGTCAAGTGTCGTCCATCTTCGTAGTGTTACGAAGAACCAAGCCCTTTTTGTTGCCTCGTGATGTTGATAGTTTTTTTTTTTTTTCAGCCCCTCCCAAGTCATTGGTGATGTTTTCCCACCGGCGTTTGGATGGGGGCCACTTGCGCCGGACCGCTCAGCCTCTCACCAAGTGAACCGTCCAACCGGTTCGCATGCATCAACTGCGTCACGTGCGGCGGTACGCATCTCATGCCCGGGGCGGGGGCGAGTCAGTTGTCTTGGACAAGCCGGGAGGTACTGCCCGCCTCTCTTCAAACATGGTGGACGTCGTTGTATACATGTGTCGTGTGACGTTTGCCCAAAAAATGTGGCTTGGTGCGAAATTCGTGGCACGATCTGATGAATGGTTGCGGTGAGGGGCCTAACCCTCAGACCGAGAGTCGCTCCGGTAGAAGTACCTGTTTTCTCCCCCGCAGTATATTTTCTGCTCAGGAATGTCCGCGATGGCATCCGTTGTCCGCTTGTCGGGGAGGCGGTTATTCACTCCTTGTGGTTTTCGTTCGGTAGACAGGCGGTTCCGGTATTGCATTTGCGTTGTGTTTGCCGTTTTTTTCTTCGCCGCCTTCTGCCTGGTGACCGCGTAAAATGGTGTCGTGTCAGCCTTTTGCTAGACCGGTCTGCGTCTCACTCATGCCCATCCCGACCTACGCGCCCGCCTCGAGATATCGAGGTTTTTCCGGCGTTCCATCGGATTGTATGGTCGTCGGCAGCATTGGGAAAAATGTTGTTTGTGGATCTGATTCCTAGATTACGCTGGGCAGCGAGTACGTTTGCCTGGGATGTCGGCCCATCCTCCTACTCTCCCTGCGGATTTCAGACTTCACCCCCCCAGACCACGAGTATGTTTGCAGGCGTCGCACAGCTTCTTTGCGTTGGAAGGACTCATGTCACTGGCACGTTTGCACTACAGTGTGATGATGCTTGGCTGTATCGAGGCTTGTTTTATCCGTTGTTCTCCCTAACCCCAGCCCCTGGCTTCCTGGACACAACCAACCGCTTGGCTTGTCGCGACTGGCACACCCAGGTGTTCAACATGCCAGACGTCATCGTGGCCATGGAGCTGACGGACGAGTTCAACCAGTTCGGGTTTTTCGCTTCGACGGAGGGCGCGGAGTTCATTAAGCAGGCCCGAGACGCCAGGAAGCCTTTCCCGAAGCCACGACTAGGCAGAATGTGGGCCTTTTAAGTGCATCATTATCTAGTGGCCTTGTGCTCCTGCATGTTGACACGCGGTTCGGTCACGACACGGGTCTGACTGTGACCGTGAAGTTTTGGTTCGACGGCTTGTGTGAGTCGGAGGACCCATCCTCGCGAAAAATCGACCGCTGGGCTGACTGTCTGCGTGTAGCATATGTCGACTGACAAACACCCATTTTCTGTGTGCTGCAGAGATGCGTGCTGCTCTGCCGCCTAAGGCTCGTGTGAGTATAGCGCGCGCCTGGGTGCCGTTCAGCTTTTTTTGTGGTGTCGAGCTCATATCGTGCTGGCTGCGTCGTTCTTCGTTTTTTAGTCGCTCGCGTGCCTCTCTGGGCTCTAGAAAAACATCTTGCGGCTTTCGGCATCGTGCGATGAAGCTGAAACTGCCGAGGGTACAGCACCATTTCATGGTTGAAGCCTGTTCGTGAAATCGAAGGCCCTGTAGCACGGGAATGAAACAAGCGGCGGCTGTTTGGTGTGTTTTGGCCTTTTTTTCAGTTCTCGTGGGGTGAGCAACATTAATTTGGGATCGCCGATCGCCGCAGCGACCATCGTTTTGTTTGGGGAATGTGTTTGGAACTGTGGTTTAAAGGTGTCACTCCGAATTCTGCCGAAATTATCACTACCGTTCGGGAGGTGTCTCGACACCGCTTGCGATTTATGATAAAAGTCTTGCCTGTTTTTTTTTTCTCGGCCAGGTCAGCCCGAAGAACAGTCGCGCTGCGCGTGGTGCTCATCTTGCAGTATGTCTGTTTTGTTTTTTTTCTCTGAACGGTCAAGGCGCACACCTGTAAAACGCTGCAGCAGCACCTCACCCGCTCACGCGTTGTATTGCGTCTTTACAAGCAAGCACAGCAGCCACCGTCAGATCAAAAGGACTATAATATGTAGCGTTTTTGAATCCTTCTCGAGAGCACTTCCTAAACCACAGACTCGTTCCGCTTGCCCCAGCTCGAAAACATAATTTCTACAGTAGATGGCCTGGATGACGTGTTTACCGAACGAAGGCTGGCAATTTCGATAAAAAACCGCTCCACCCGTACGCATTCGAACTTCGGTGCTGTACGCAACACTTGGCCTGTACTACTCCGTTGGCCTGAAATGTCTTCTCCACTGATTTGCCGACACATATCAAGAACGGTCGCGGGACGGGCGCCTCTGATAGCACCATGTAGACTAGTCGAGATGGTCGCGATCTTCGCGCTTTGGATGGCGGCCAACTCGCTCCTTGTGCACCCTCCCGTCTTTGTCGCCGTTCGAGGCCCTGCTTCCGTGCGCTCGTGTTGGGGAGGGAAACCCTTTGGTGCTGTCCGTGATGGGCCGCCCCGCTCCAGCGTACGTTGCGTCTTGCCAACTTATGCTGTGCGGCCTTGCGTGTCTTACGATGTTGGTATACATGCTCTGTCATGATAACCAGTCACTGCCTGGCGGTGGAAATAAAACGACGTGTTCGAACGGGTGTCACCTCTGCGGGAGTTATCGTTGGCCCACCCGACCGGTGGTCCAGCCTAGAATCTCAAACCTTACGTTTAGGGTTTGAGTGTTGTAGTAGCGGCGAATGAACTGGGATGTCGAACCTAAGCGACCTGAGAGCCATCGCTGCTGTGTCTACTTTTAAATGAGCCTTGTGGTAGTCTCAAGAGCTGCTGCTGTACCGACAAACGTTCGCGCGCCAAACTTTGCAGCCCGTCACCTACCGCGCGCCGCAGGGGCGGGAAGGGAGGTATCACCTACCTTACCCAAGCTGGTGGCAACGGCAACACGGGAGAATGACTTCGCTCTTCAAGTCGCGTTGAGCGGACCAGATGTGACAGCTTCGCGTATGCCCGCGATGTAGTGGTCCCTTCTAAAACAGCGAACCCGACAACGTCCTGAACTGCCCTGGTCCCTTAGACCAAGCTCTCGAATTCCCAAGCTCTAGCTTGGGTCTCAGTCGATCAAAAGTCTTTTTTTTCCGTCTGTGGAGTTTTCAGTAGCATAGCGGACCCCTTGCCCGACCGGGTCGAAAATGCCGATCTCAGCCCACACTGCGAACCTCCGAGAACTACCAGCAGTTCTGGGTAGCTGAGACGATTTCAAGACCTCTCACAGTCGTTTGAGCAGCTATCGTTTGCTGTGGGTCGATAACCAGTGCCTCCGTCGACAAGAAGATCTGCGTTACATCGTCACATCGGAACGACCAGATCGTCACTTCGGAACGACCAGATTGGTTCACTTGTCGTTGAGGGTCCTCTTTTTATAGATACTTTTGTATAAGAGGCGGACCCCTTGCCCGTTTTATTGTTGTTGTTGATGTGCGGACGAGACAGAGGACTGCCGATCTCAGCCCACACTGCAAACCTCCGAGAACTACCAGCAGTTCTGGGTAGCTGAGACGATTTCAAGACCTCTCACAGTCGTTTGAGCAGCTTATCTCTCGCTGTGGGGCGAAAACCAGTTTCGACAAAAGGATCTCATTGGAACGACCAGATTATTATTAGTTCGGGGTCCTCCTTTTATAGAGTCGTCTTCTTTTTTTTCGCATACGCGTACCACATTGAAAATACAGGTGACGCTATGATTAATCCATTGCTAATCTGTCTCAGACTCTTTTCTATGATGGAGATCAGATGATGGAGATGGTTTCGTAGTGTCCAAAACAAAAAAAAAAACTATCGTTACTCTATCGATACCTCACACCCACCCCTACTCACGCCGACGCAGGCACAGACAGGCAGACTCAACTCTTGTTCGTGCGTGCTGAAAAATGGTGCATACGGCAGCAGCAGCAGCTTACAGCAGCAGCAGCTGCTTTTTGCTTGTTTGTACAGCTTTTCGTGAGGGTCCTCTTTTTATAGATATTTTTGTATAAGAGGCGGACCCCTTGCCCGTTTTATTGTTGTTGTTGATGTGCGGACGAGAGGACGAGAGTGGTAGGCAGGGATGGCTCTTGTTGTGCGGCAAGTTGCATTGATTGTTTGTTGTTAATGATGCGGACGAGAGGACTAGATAGAGTGTGGTAGGCGAAAGCAGTACGTACCGTGTTAAAGGGAGACAGACAGAGTGCCTACCGTGTGTACAAGGGGCAGACATAGTGGAACAGAGTATAGGGGTTGTGCGCGGTGAGGAGGAACGGTGTGCCTACCGTGTGTATAAGGGACGAGTGGAACAGACTATAGGGGTTGTGCGCGGTGAGGAGGAACGGCGTTCGAAGGCACATGCAATATGGGTCACAGATCTTTTCGTCACGGATCGTTTGCCTAGCCGCGTGGCCCCCTGGGCGAACTCCGCGCTCGCCCCCACATCGGTCACTTCCTCTCCCTCTACACTCCCTCTCATCCTCCGTTAGAAGCCCGGATTCTTCACACATTATGTCGTCGGAAGCGCAGCAGATCGCCGAAATGTGGGGCGACTTCGAGGAGGAAGTGGCCCAGATTCCTCGCGTCATGCCAAAGCTCACCCCCGAAGAGGCCGCAACCCAAACATGCCTGTACTGCCGCGGCACTACCTTTGAGACGCCTGGAGTCAGGCAGTGGGGGACGAGGTGAGACCTTGTACGCAGCCACGAACCCAGCGGGGCGTTCTGTTGCTGTCTGTTGGCGGCCGCCGTTGCCGTGTGCTGCTGCTGTTGCTGGTTACCATTTGCGCACTTTGCGCATTTTGACATGCCTGACTATTGTCTATTCGATGTGTTCGATGTATTGTACAGTTTATTGAAGATGTAATACGCCCCAATAGCCGTTGGTGATTTTATTTTATCCCTACAAAAACCATGCGCCAACAACGAGAATCACATGCGCACGGCCCGACGGCGTTTGTTTGTTTCCACACACCAATAATAAGTCCATGCATGCAGGAAGCAGCCACAAATTAAACGCCCCCCTCTCCACTCATTTTTGCATGAGACACGACAATGAAGCACAGCCAGTCACCGGTGCACCCCGTTGCCCTCCACTCATTTTCGTATATATATTCTTATGAGCGTCAACCATTTTTCCTCTGGCCTTTCGCTCCCTTCCCTTCTTTCTGTTTGCTTCGGAATAATGCAGTTGCACTGACTGCCAAGAGTCCATCTCCCTGTCTTCGTCCAAGCCGGACGACGACGAGCGCAAGACCAAGCGCTTCTCCAAGCCCTTTACTTGCTTTTTTTGCAAGGACCTGATCGGGTACGACGCGCCGTACTTCCGTATGCCACACCCGAAGGGTAAGATAAATCCCTACAACAATCCTTCTTGCCTGACGCTTTCCACGTGCCTACTTGCCGAACGCTTTACTTCCCTTCTTCACGCCTGCATCTGCCGTCCACACCTCAGCTTGAAGCGCGACAAGCGCGTCAAGCCATATTTTCCAATTCGTCTCTGCCCGGGGTAGGCTCTCAGATGGGAGACGTCGCTAGCGTCTTCGAGGCAATTGCGGCTCGTTGCCCACAGGAAGGGTCACCCATATGGCCAGACAACTTCAACGATCGTCAAAAACGGGTCGTTCGGACTCGTCGAGAATTTGGGCTTGATTGGCGATACGGCAATTCATGTCCACTGGGCAATCACTCCAACCTCGAGATTACGCCCGATCAGTCGGCGGCGCTGAGGAACGCCACCGTTATCACCATCCCAAACGGCGCCTCCACCACTTTTCATGAAAAGGTACAGGGATTTTTCTCCTCTGGCCAGGCTTCGGATCTGTCCATTCCGGGGACATCCCTGTGCCCCTTCTGTGCAGCTGGCCTAAGCCAGACACTGTGCAATTGGACTTTGCTACCATGGACTGTGCACACAGCACCTAACAGGGTGTTATTCCGTTCTACTGAGGTATTCCAAGGGCTGCATGGTCGGCCCATGTCGCCATCGCCGACTATGTTCATGGGGGCTGCATATTCCTTGGTCGGCGTATCTTACCATATTGCGCATGGTGGGTCACGGAAGAACCACTTCGTCACTCAACTGCGTGTCAGAGGTATAAGGGGTTTTGCACGATTCCCTCTCACAGTCCCGTACTTATGCAAAGCATAAATAAAAAAGCACGGTTTACACACTAAACCCTAGTAATGACCCCTCCAAACATCTAGCACATAAATAGACGGGGTTTCGGCGCCTGGATGGCGTTTTCGAGCACTTCTTGTATTCTCAGGTTCGATTCTCAGGGTCGAATCGAACCTGAAATCGAACCTCAGATCAAACCTCAAACACATGGCCAATTACACTTAAATACTCAACACCATCCCACCCATAACACACTCCCCTTACCCTACAACAGAAGACGCCACCCCGTACTAGTGTTTTTGGCCTCGTGCCGGACCTGCAAGCACGAAAACAACTTTATATCGAACCCGTAATACATACACCTCGATCATGTGTGCAAATCTTCACATCCTTTCGGGAACCCACCCTTCCCTCCCACTCTACCACGCGTCGTAAACATGAAACTTGGAAGGTGAAACATGTGCAAGACGATGACGACGAACTGGAAGCTATTCTGCGAGAGGCAAAATGCAAAAAAGGGGAAGAACAATGGGATCGGTGCAGCGGTGACCGCGGAGGAGGGACGGGTGTACCACACACCCGATGGGGCGACGTACAGATCCTTGGACGTCGCCGGTGGAGGCATGTGCGCGGTTCTGACCCTTATTGCCCTCTACATGATCTCCAATGGGGACCCGTACTCGTTTGTTTTCGCGGCCGTCTGTGGTGAGGTCACGAGCGAGATGAGGGGATACGTGCAGTGTCTCCGCGGCATCATCGTCCACATGTCCGAGGGACGTATCACTCATCTTGGAGACGGCGAGGAATCTGCACCGTTTGACGATGTGGTGGAAAATCCTGACCACGAGATCGAGACGAAAGGCATGTGGAGAATGGTGATGCTCGCAGCCCGAGGTTTCTTGGACACCCTCGCAATGGATCTCCTTGCCGAGTATTTCGGATTGAACGGGTTCAGAGTCGTTAGGCCGGATGGAGATGGGCTTCTGGTGCCGTGTGACTACAAGGGCTTAACTTTGGAAGGGGATGTCCATCTGGCTATGTACGACGGGTTCGGACACTTCAAGGCTCTCATTCGTGAGGAACCTCATCCGCAAATGGTGAGTCCGGGAGACAACTGGTTATCTAGCCTTTGCGTTGTCTAACTTTTGCGTGTGTAGCGCGTGTTTGTTCGGTAGGGAGATTGTGTGTACTATTTAGACACGGAGCATGAAACAACTAAACACACTTTTTTCTTTTCTTTCGTGTCCCCATCTTGCGCAGACCGAAAGGAACGCGGATGAGCCTCGTGTGGAGCAGACCGAGAGCGCCCCGGAGGTCGCGGCGGGTGCAGACGCGGAGGAGCCTGACGCGGAGCAGACCGAGAGCGCCCCGGAGGTCGCGGCGGGTGTGGAAGCGGATGAGCCTCGTGTGGAGCAGACCGAGAGCGCCCCGGAGGTCGCGGCGGGTGCGGACGCGGAGGAGCCTCGTGTGGAGCAGACCGAGGGAGACGGGTGGCACGTCGTGGGCGGGAGCGGGGGCAAGGTCAACGCGCACAATGACGAGGTACGTCCTGGTAGGGTGTGATTTCAAAGTGTCAGTCAAGCGGTATGGAAGGTAGCAAGACGTCTGCGTTCATGTCTCATCGATCCATACCCCGTCGGTTTTCTTATCGTCTAACGCAGGAATCGAACCTACTTCGCTTTGCGACCGGCAACCAGTTCATCGTACTTTGCGACGAGGAGGAGGATGACGGGTCGGAGAACGGAGAAGAGGCCGATGAGACGCGTGAGGCAGACCGGGTGGAGGTGGGTGTGGACGAGGGAGAAGAGGTCGATGAGACTTACGAGAGGATGGAGCCGGACGGTGCGACGGCAGACGCGCACCCGAAAACCCGCAACCGGGCTGGTCGCCGGGTGGCTGGTCGGCGCACAGCTCAACCCAGCTCCATCCGAGGGAGAGCTGGGAGGAAGTACCTGAAACGTTGTCCTGCGAGGAATGGCCGAGTCCAATGCAAGCGTGGGTGTGGACATGGACGTCGACTCGAGCCCCCAAGTGGAGCAGGCTTTGTGCGAGGAGGAGGGCGTACTCCTAGGGACCGAAAAAAGCGTGACCTAGACGGGGGGAAGTCGGGAGCTAGCCATGTGAGGAATTCTCAAGCGTACTGGAAGGACAAGGTGGAGGGTTATGTTGTAGCTAGATACAGGGGATTGTCCCCGTGGACACAGCAAGACCTCGACAGGGCAATTAGCCTAATGTGGCAGCGGCGGAGTGCGGAAGAAAGGCAGCAGTACGAGCCAGAAATTAAGCACATGCTGGCAAAAGCGCAGAGGGAAGCGAACGGAGAGGCGGAACCGGTTGCGGAGGAACCATCGGGAGCCATGTGTGTGAATGGTGAGCAGCGTTCGCCGGAGAAGCATCAACCGGAAGCAATGGACGTGGGTGGTGAGCAGCAGCAGCTCCCGGTGGAGGAGGAGGCCCGGGTGTCACCATCGGAAGCCATGGACGTGGGTGGTGAACAGCAGCTCCCGGTGGTGCAAGAGGCCCAGGCGTCACCACCGGAAGCAATGGACGTGGGTGGTGAGCAGCAGCAGCTCCCGGTGGAGGAAGAGGCCCAGGCGTCACCACCGGAAGCAATGGACGTGGGTGGTGAGCAGCAGCAGCTCCCGGTGGAGGAAGAGGCCCAGGCGTCATCACCGGAAGCAATGGACGTGGGTGGTGAGCAGCAGCAGCTCCCGGAGGAGGAGGCTCAGGCGTCACCACCGGGAGTCATGGGTGTGGGAGGTGAGCAGCAGCTCCCGGAGGAGGAGGAGGAGGAGGCTCAGGCGTCACCACCGGAAGCCATGGACGTGGGTGGTGAGCAGCAGCTCCCGGAGGAGGAGGAAACCCAGGTGAGCAAAACAAAGGTCGTGGGATCTAATTGTTCATACCATTTTGTGCAAATAACCTGATGAAACGAAGACACCAACTTGAGGCCGTGTGCCCACCGTTTGTGTTGTTTCTCACAGAGTTCTTCGTCAGATGAAAGCTCTGAAGAGGAGGCTGGAGGAAGGACACTGCGGCGCAGAGGAGGTAGAAAGATGTCAAAACAAGAGGCTCACTGGAGGGCTGGCGTTGCCGCTGGAACTTGGACGAAAGAGGAGCTGAAAGCCAAATTGAAAAACGAGAAGAGGAAGAAGAAGCAGGAAGAGAGGCAGAGGAGGGAAAAGGAGGAGAGGCTTCAGTATGATCACGAAGAGGACGATGATGACGCGCCCTGTGTGGGATGTGGCGAGCTTTTTGATCGAGATCAGCTTGCATCACTCGGAAATGAGGTGAGATTATGCGGTTGGTATATTCATTTCAAACAGTGTCATCACGACAACTCATGATATACACCATTTAAACCTATGAACTGACGATTGTTGTATTCGGCATGACTATTTCTGCTGGTTGTCTGTCACCGAAGCTACGCTGCGCTGGGTGTTTGGAAGAGGAATCGGATGAGCGAGCAGGGTCCGTGGGTGACGCGGGTGCTGTAGAAGGCGATCCAGAGAGCGACGTTAATGGAGACACGTGTACCGGGGCCACATCAGGTGTACCAGCATCCAAAAAGTCGAAGCAATGTCGTCGTCAAGTCTGCAACCGACTCCACAAAACTTGCAGCCAAAACGAGGCGCTGGTGGTGCCGAAGGATGACGAGCAAGCTGAACGAATCTTCGCCAACTACAACGAAGCAAACGAACATGAGCGCAAACTCACCGCCTCGAAGAAAACAATCAACGAAGTTCGGAACCTGACCTACCTCGACATCACGAGGGCATCTACATGCCTCGACAAAGGTTTACCCGTCGGTGAAGATATTTGGCGAAAATTGGAGAAAGAGGACTACGGGCTGTACGGAATTACAACCCGTAGAGAGGAGGTTTCGGGCACCAAGGTTACATCCGCGAACAACAAGGGGGAGGTCGTAGTAGCAAGGAGGGTGAAAGGATACAATACTTTCACCATCGAATGGTCGGACAGCAGGAAGAAAAACAGCGAATACAAAACTGGAGATGTTCTTCGCGACCGCGACGATGGGCAGGGCGTGGTGTCACTTGGCGAGGCGACGCGGCGGATAGAGAGGTTTCTTCGCTCAGCGCGATGCATGGCCGACGTCCAGTTTCACGAATTTATCACCAATAACGTGAAGGTTCATGATGCCAAAAGTACGCGTCCACTGAGCCAGGACAAATCCGATGATATCATCAACGGTAGGAAGCACGCCTGGGAAGAGACGGAGGCAGCTTGCGCGGTGGACATGCTTTTGCCGAACGAAATTGATTTGCTAAAATCGGGCGAGGATCCAGACTTGTTGGGGGAGATGAAAGCTCCCAAGTCATGCTTCGCTTTTATGGGGTTGGACGACTACGCCAGGATCGGCCAATTTGGCCTCATCAAAAGCAACGAGGACTTCAATTCCAAGCACCTGCCTTTCCTTAACCACTTTGTACGGGGAGCACAAGCATCATTTCGACTGGGTCGTCCGATCAGCCTGGCGTCGTCAATGGTTTTCATGTCCGTCAACGAGCTTCCTCTCGGGTACACCACCACGTCAAACACAGACGCCAACAAGGTGTGTTTCAATCCCGGAAACGTGAAGGAGTACAGTTTGCAAATGAGGGCTGTGTTAGCGGGGGCAAGAGTGAAGGATTTTGACGGGAAAGGCATTGCATCAACTACATGCCAGTGGTTCACAAGATATCCGCTATATCGCCTATTGGATCTGTCGCGAATTGACGGGGGTAGCGTTTGTCCATCGACGGAGCATTCGAACTCGGTTTCCCCGACGCTTCGCCATCGAGACGCGTACAATGTAGCATCAATGCTTAGCAGCCACCGGGTTGCGGACTTGGAAGTGTTCACGATTATCGACCAAAGATACCTTACCGTGTCGAGGGAAAAAAGGAGCGCGAAGGCTGTAGTAGAGAACGACAATGAAAAGGTTGGATTTGGTACTAAATGGAGTAAGGGCAGGACCCACCTGGTAGGCAGCCAGAAATGCATCGACGGGTATCATTTATTAGAGGAACTAGTTTTTAACAATGGCATAAAGCCAATCATGGACAAGTTGCCGGCTGCAACTGTGGACATGTGTAACGATGTTCTCGAGATGGACGCGATGCAGATTGGAAAACATAAGACTGAAGATCACTTTTGCCCACCTAAGCACCAAGTCCAGATAGAGTCGGTAGTTGATAGCCTCATCGCCCAAAAGGTGACCAGATTGGATGTTTCGTTGTTCAGTCGCGCACTGTATCTAGCAGATGCTGTATTGACCGCAGCCCTTCGCTCACAAGATGGTCTGGGACAGATAGCGAGAGATTTCCACCGCATTACGCGAAAAGACGTCCACGGAAACGAAGTAGCGCTTAGCCGATGTCTTCTACCTAGATACTTTAAGAACAAGAAGTCACTCGAGAATTCCCCTTACGGCGTAGTGGTGAATCACACCAAACACGAGAAGTGTGTCGGACCATACGCGGTAATGGTGGTTATTTTGAGAAAGATGATGAGACGTCTGCTCAAGATTGAGATGGAGAAGAAGGTGTTGCAGATACATGCTGCAGGGGGGAACACGGAAGGGATTGGAGACTTGTACGCGCTCACTGAACACCTGGGCCCTTTCGATGAGAATGGAATCTTGTACAATGAAGTCAAGCTAAGGGACTTGTTTAGATGGATAGGAAAGCGTGCCATGGGGATCCCGAGATTTGGCACGCACATTATTCGCACGAACCACGCGACCGCGGTAGCAATGTATTGTGTAAGGAATGGTTTGCCCCAGGATCACCAGACGGTAAAGGATCTGTTCGCCCTGGCCAGACACGGAGAGGGGATGAGGATTAAGTCGTATTCGCAAGTCAAGGCCGATACACCGGATGCAGGGAGCATCAAAACCACATTGATGGGCACGGTTTCTTCTCTAGAATCCCTTGAAAAAGATTTTAATGGAGTCGAACATCTGGAAAGTAGATTGGGTGACCTTGTGTTGAATGACATCGGGGACGTAGGTTGTCCAGGAGTCTTGGCATTCGAGGGGAAGCCTGGTGAGTCACCATGCGAACCGTCTGTCGTAGGTAGCGAACTGAGTAAACGGCCGGCCGTAGCCGAAATGGATGATGACGAGAAGGCTTTAGCGAAGAAGGTGCGAATGAAGCGGTTGGAGAATATGTTGAAGAAGGAAGATGAAGAAGCAGCACGCTTGAAATGCGGTGACCCGGTTGGGGCGGGGAAAAATGCCTGTGGTAAGGGTACGGGGTTGAGTGACGTGAGTGGGGAGAACAAAATACAAATTCGATCGAGGCTGATAGGAGAAATGAATTCTTTGATTCTGAAATTGTCTCGAGACAATAAGACGGGGAAAGTCAGTAGAGGAACGGCGTTATACAACTTGAAGAACAGTAAGAATATCAAAGTTGCTTACGGGGCAGAGGTTCAACGGTTGTTGTATTCGAAAAAGAACGATGAACACCGTGCTCTTTGCGATGCGTTCTTCGAGGAATTCAAGCAGAACACTGGGGGGAAGGTGAAGCCTGGAGCGAAGGCAGAGGCTTTTAGGAAGAGGGAAGGTATTGTTTGGAAACATTACGATTGGGATACGGGTGAGACGAAGGACATGGTGTAGTCGAAAACGAGGGTGGATAAAGTCTTTTTTTGAGTTGATATCATCAGTTTAAACGATCCACCTGGCGAATGGTGTAACTACAGCGCGCGCCACGTGGGCGGTTCGTGGTGAATTCCAACCGCTCGGGGTAGGCTACACGGCCAAGCGCCTGTAGCCATTCCCCTCCCTCTCAACGCCAGCAGCAGCAGCAGTAGAAGCACTGCAGGATAGCCACTCAGTCAGGGAGTGCCCTCGTCGGCCCGCGTTTGGCACCATTTTAATGTCATTTTGATTTTCACACACACCCTCCTACGAACCGCAGAAACACCCTTTCTCCATCATCTTTCCAGAAGGTATTCTCCCTGCGAAACCATTTTTCGCTATCTTCGAGCTGACCAACTTTACGCTTTTTCACAAGATCGCGGAACAAGAGTTTGGCATTGCCCGAGTGCTTGAGCAGAGATGCGCGGATCTCCCCAACAAACTCCATTCTGATTCTACGCAACTTCGGCCCTTGTGGAGCATCACCCTGCTCTGTAGTTGTTTCTCCCGAGGTAGCCGAGGTCACTACCGACCCTAGGACCTCGTGACCCAGCGCGTGAGCCGCCGAATTCCCAGCGGCCGACATGTAGCTACTCCGGAGCGTGGAACTAGACACCTGCAAAAAGCTTCCAAAATCCTCTATGTTCGAGGGATCGACCTGGCCCGAATTCAGGGCGGCCGTAGCCCAGAAGGTTCTACACGTGTGAACACAGAAGTTGGGAAGGCCTAGCCAGTGCGCCCCAATCTTCTTGAAAGGCGAATTTATGTCATTCTGAACGTACCCCCTGCCCTTCGAATTGAGAAGCAGCTTCCTTTTACTGTCCTTCATGTCCGCATCGCAGAAGCGGTGACCGACCACGGCAATGAAATGTACCATCATGGATTGACCGGGGGAGAGGTTGAAGTGACTCACGGGCGGTGAACCGCTTGACGCGCCGGCAGTTTTGAATGCACGATCCTTGAAAGTCTGCCTGTAGAAGGTACCGTCTGGGACAAGTCCAAACTCGTTCAGCGTTGCCTCGCGCAAAACCTGGGATCTTTGGAAACTGTTGCTCAAGACCAGAAGCGTATTGAGGTTGGCGACATCGGTGGAGACCATACCCTTTGTGCTGGCGTGCTCGTATAGCCGGTGTGCCTCCTCGTCGGAGATCCGTAGAAACGCGGATGGGTGATCCATGCTTACCCCGAGAGCCTCTCCAATCAAGGTCTTGAGCGGTAGCCAAACTTGCCTCGATATCGACTGAAGCATTGCGTGCATTTTCTCCGACGATGCTGGGTCGCAGGGGTCGAGCATTTTGCCTTCGCTGATCTTCTTGTTCATGTCCGCCGGGTCCAGGCTGTCGTTGACCTTCAGCTCGACTTTCAGTCGTTTCCTGGCCTTCCAGAGCTTCGTGTCAGCGTGATTGATGATCTCCCCTAGCTTGTTGCTCACAGAGGAGTCAAACAGAGAGTGCTCGCCCGCTTGCAGACCGAGGCACCTCGCCTGTACGTCGAGGCTCACCCTCTTCCCGTAGGTTGAAGTGATCGCCCCCAGCACAGAGCCGTCGATCTTGCCGACGGCTTCCATGGGCTTTTCCCTTAGCACGTCGAGGACGCACACGACAGCACCCGACTCGACGCCTATCTTGGAGTTTAGCCTGTAGTGATTGACCAACCCCGCGATGGTCTTGGCGTCCCCCGGAGCTGAACGAGTTGCATTGTACAAAGCAAAGCAATCAGCTACGTGTTTTCCACCGATATAAGACTCCTCCGTGGCCCTCTCCAGACACACATAATTGATGTTTCTGTGAGGCGTGCCGATCGCACGGAAAACCTCGCGCCAATTCGTCTGAAACTTGTTGATGGGCCCGTCAAGATGCGTCCCCGGGCAACCCCACGTCTGCTCCAAGACAGAGCGTTCCGTCACGGACAGTGGCAATATCACGGATTCGAGACAGCACGGCCGCCCCAGAATGACGACGGTGAAGTACATGAGAGACAATGCTTTAGAGCACGAGGTGTACACCGAGCTGGCGTTCATCTTCCCGTGCTCCGATGACGTCATAGCAAACTCACGGCCTAAGAAAAATCTGTGCCTCAAGTCGCTCTGTTCAAAATCTATGTTCATGTACTCCAACACGTTTTTCGTCATGTCCACGCTGTAAGGGAGCCCGTAGAACGCGGAGAAAGTAGACCCATTCCTCCGTAGCCTGTCATACGCGGCCCGGCGTTGCTCCAGTCTTGCCCTGTCTGTCGAGACGTTCAGTTCGTTCCAGTGCGCGCTTCCTGACTTAAGCTTAACTCGATTCTCGGCGGCACATGGCAGCAACTGCGAATAGACGAGATACCCAATCAAACAGCTGTTGTCATGGAGAGATTCGGTCCAGCTGAGCTTCTCGGCGTCGGACAGGCGGTCGAATGGTACCCCGCTGTGGTTTCGCGCATGGTAGAAAATTTTAACCTGGGACTCGGTCGGCCTCTCGAACACATTTTTCAAGGTCACGGGGGATTTGTACGTGACCTTGGTGCGCGGTGAGAGTGTGGCAACATCCGACGGATCGAATCCAGATCGCAAAAGAGTGGTAAGTCCTGCACCCGGTGAAAGCTTCGTGCGCTTTGTTGCTTGCGAAGCCATGGTTGGTGTGTGAGCTCGGGCGTCAAAGCCACACGAAAGTTATTCGTTCGGAATGGAGCGGGGCCACGCTCACAGGACTGATTTCACACGAGGGGTGTTTACAATGTTTGTTGATTTGATTTCCCCTCCAACTTGCTGTCGCGCTCGCTTCAATCGTAGCCACCCGAGCCCAAGTGGCGGCAATCGGTGGTGGAAGCCTCATCGCGACTCCGGTAACCCAAGGCGCAAAATGGCGCCAAAGTTATCACCTGCCGGGTCACCGCTACCCCATCCCTTCGCCCGCTCTCCCGAAAGAGATAACGACGGTCGGGGCAGTAGCGAAAGTTTATCCTTAAGATTGATATGCTTGTGTCGAAAGAAACCTCACAAAAGACATCATGCCTGCCAAGAAAAAACGCTCCGAGGAACACAAGGCGAAGATCGCTGCGAGAAAGTTGCGGAGTTCCCCCAAGACGCCCGACATTTGGAACGGGTGTATCGTTTCGCAGCTGCGCGAAGATCTTCGTGGACGTGTGTCGTATATGCAAATCAACGGAGAGGGGCCGGTCGAACCCGTAGCAGACATGGAAACCCTCGAGCGCATGGCCCGACTGCTGCAAACGGAGGGTGCTGCGGAGCTGTTTCAGCAAAATTGAATTTGATTAAGCCTGGCTTCTTATACTGCTTCCCGTGGTTCAAACCCTCGGGTGGATGGCCCGACTCCTGTCTAAAAGAGGGGCGCTGCCGAGCTTCTTCTGCTGCTGCCGGTGGTTCACGTAAACATCACGCGTGCGAGTCCGCCTACAGGCAGGCGTTGCTCGAGAACGGCAACACCATGGACCAGTCAATTAAAATGGCGCTACGAGGGTGCGCCTCGCGGCGCAGGCGTTGGAACTGACCGACCATAAGAGCTCTTCTGGTCGCTCGTGGCGTACTCGAACCATGCCGGTAATGACTTGGCCCGTCATGAAAGACTGGTACGCTATTATAATAACGGAGAGCCATTTAAGCAACTTGTAAATAGCACATGGAGCGTGTTTTCGAAGCATGTTGTGTCGGTGGTCGGGGAAGTAAACTGTTGCCGGCAAGGTCAAGCTCTGTTTTTAAGCAACCGAGGTGACGTAGTACATCGGCCTTGAAGCCAGCCGCACGTGGAGCCAGCTTACCCCTGTTCCATGCGTGCTCACATACACCGTTTCGCCCCTCTTAAGTTTGCGCTGCAGCTCCACAGCTACCTTCTTCCACAAAGCGCGCTTCTCGGCGTCTGAACTGTGTTTGTAGAATGTGGCCAAGTGCGAGAAGTTTTTGCCCGTGTCCGGAGGAATTACTAACAACGTCCCTCCAAAGCTGTTGAACGCAACGGGAGTCTTTTTGTTCTTCATGTGGTGCGCAAAAAGGGCGGGATCGGCCGGCAGCGTCATCGGTAGAGCGCGCGCAGCTGATTTCGTCTTTTGCCGGAAGGGGCTGTCGCCTCCCGCTGTTGCAACAGATGTCTCCCAGAACACGCTGCCTTTGATATCGGGCAAGTCTTTGCCGGCCTTCCATGATTTGATCACATCGTTCCAAGTTGGCGCAGCTTGTGACAGCAGTACAGATGAAGAATCGGGCTGACACTTACGACAGCGATTGGTTTCCGGGTTTCTCACCCACCCTTGCGTGCACGGTTTCAGGGGACGGCCGGTCGTCATGGTTTTGAAATATAGTCAAAGTAAACATATAAATAAATAATCCATTGTTGCAAAACTTGGGGCCAGCGGTACATGTCGCTGCCCCCTCTCGCGGAATACACACAGCAGTCCGTACACACACAGACACGCACCTCGCGCAGAACCCAGGCTTCCCTCCTCGGGCCGAATTCCTTCCCCGACCACAGCAGTCCTTCTGGCAAAAGCCATCGATATGGCCGCTGTTTACCTGTACAGCAGTGCAGTATGTAAGTACTTGTGTCAGGTCAGCAGTAGACTACGGCAGCAGTTTGTCACACAGCTGTGTGTATCTCTCGCGGGGTACATCTGTGTAGCTGTCTTTACAGCAGCAGTACAGTAGTTGTACTGTAGTTGTACTGATGTAGTTGCAGTCGCACTGCATTGCAGCTGCTCGGTACAGCAGTCCGTACGCAGCAAACCTGATCTGATGTGCGAACGAAGGAGAAATGGCTGCTGTGACACACACATAACACACAAACACACGCACCTCGCGCAGATCCCAGGCTTCCCTCCTCGGGCCAAATTCCTGCCCCGACCAAAGCATTCCTTCTGGCAAACGCCATCGATACCTGTACAGCAGTGCAGTATGTAAGTACTTGTGTACCTGGTCAGCAGTAGACTACGGCAGCAGTTTGTCACACAGCTGTGTGTATCTCTCGCGGGGTACATCTGTGTAGCTGTCTTTACAGCAGCAGTACAGTAGTTGTACTGTAGTTGTACTGATGTAGTTGCAGTCGCACCGCATTGCAGCTGCTCGGTACAGCAGTCCGTACGCAGCAAACCTGATCTGATGTGCGAACGAAGGAGAAATGGCTGCTGTGACACACACACACACACAAACACACGCACCTCGCGCAGATCCCAGGCTTCCCTCCTCGGGCCAAATTCCTGCCCCGACCAAAGCATTCCTTCTGGCAAACGCCATCGATACCTGTACAGCAGTGCAGTATGTAAGTACCTGTGTACCTGGTCAGCAGTAGACTACGGCAGCAGTTTGTCACACAGCTGTGTGTATCTCTCGCGGGGTACATCTATGTAGCTCTCTTTACAGCAGCAGTACAGTACTGTAAGTTGTACTGCTGTAGTTGAGAGTCGCACCGCATTGCAGCTGCTCGGTACAGCAGTCCGTACGCAGCAAACCTGATCTGATGTGCGAACGAAGGAGAAATGGCTGCTGTGACACACACATACACACAAACACACGCACCTCGCGCAGATATCAAGCTTTCTTCCTCGGGCCAAATTCCTTCCCCGACCACAACAGTCCTTCTGGCGTACGAATGCGAACCCTGTCGTAGTACCACACCCAGTCCCTGGAGTACGTGTGCGCTCGTCTGCTGCACATGTGCCGACTATCCCTGATCAGTATTCTACCCGGTACCAGTGAAGACTTTTGACGAACGACGTATTGTAGAGAAAACCTAGCTTCCCCATACCCCAGCAGTCACGGGGGGGTTATATCTCGCGTCCTTGCACTGCTGTTGAATGCGGCGGGGCTGTGTTCCGTGCCCGGAAACAGAAAAAATGACCGGAAGACAGAACCAATTTTTGTTCGAATCTCGCCGCACGTTTTCCCGAACAGGTACTTGAAGCGGCGTAATTTGATGGGCACGCGTAGGCCTGTGCTCCGTAGGTGACTTTTTTTTTTTTTTTTCGGTGATTTTTTCCGATTACCAAAAAAAAAATCGGTGATTATTCTAGCTGCACGAAAACGTTTTTCGGTGAAAATCGGCGACAAAACAAAAAAAAAGGTGAGAACCATACAAAACTTTTTCGGTGATTTTCGGTGATAAATTGAAGTAATATTGGGGTGAGCTGCCGAAAAACGTTCTTCGGAGATTTTCGGCGATGTTTCGAAGGATCGTAGTAAGTAACGTCAAATATTAAGCAAAAATAAAAACGTTGTACGAACTCTGGTGGTTCTTTTTGTACGTATGTATCTCATCGTCGACTCATCAGAACACCGATAGATGCCCTCCGGCATGATTCAACTGCTGACTACCTACCGACCTGGTACACAGGCACGCACTACGCACCACGCACTACAGCTACAGATCAGCCAGAGCCCGGCTCGCCCAACAACGTAGACAATAAACCAAGAAGCTCCATCACAGGTCACCGTCGCCATCCTCCGGGGCATCCTCACTCCCTTGCCTCAGCCCTCTGCTACTTCCCCTTCCCCTATTGTACTTCAAACAGAGAATTGTCGAACTTCGGTTTGAATTATGAACATCGGTTTGAGAATTTTCTCGTGGTTGGAGTAAATCGTTCTTTTGACTTGAGGATTGGAATCGAAAACACCGTTTTGATTGCCGCCTTTCCCAAGTCCTCTCCAAAAAAGTAAGTTTCTGGAGCAGCCCCAAACGGCCTCAGGCGAGCTTCTGTGGCGGTGAGAACGTACCCTGGCATGTACTGAGGGGTCAGCTTAGCTTGGCCGTTGCGTTGGGTCCGCCGAGAGATAGAGAAGCAACTCATCGGTGATCAATTGTATTTTTTTAGAGAATAGCAAGAAAACGTGGTGTCGTGTGTGTGTTTGTTTCGCGTACCCTCTCTCTCCCCTCCCGACAACACACACCCTCGCACCTGCACCTGCTGCACATCCGTACAGGCCACCCATACATGGATGTGGTGAGGATCCAAACGTGAGCACTCCTCCCCTCCTCGGGGGCTCGTTCCTTCGCGGTAGAGCTGCTCTTCGGCTGTAGTGTGCACGCACATCCGAGAGAGCTCGCTGCTGTACCCACCAGACCCACCCGCTCTTTCCGTTTCTCGGAACGAATAAACCAAAAAGGCACGCACGTGTGTGTGTCCCCA